TTTATAATCCTCCTGCCTCTGCCTCTGGTTCCAGCTACTCAGGAGGCAGAGGCAGGGGGATTGCCAGTTTAAGGTCAGTGTGGACGGCAAGTGTTTTTAAAAGAGCGAGCTGGGGATGTGGCTCAGTAGCACAGCACTTGCCTGGCATGCAAAAGACCTTGAATTCAATCCTCAGTCCACCAAAAATAAATAAACCTGCGAGTCCCCAGGCCCAAAATTCTGTAGATAAATCAAGAAAGTGGTAAAACACACTTTGTTGAAAACAAAACGGGAAGCACTAACACCAAATCTTTTCTCTTTAGTGTTGAATTTCTCCGATAGGAAAGGCTTTCAAACTTTAAAAACCATAAAAAAGTGTATATTTGCTTCTCACATAAAACGTTTCAAGAAAAATACCTCTACTATGCTCATTCCACACCACCTGTCATTTAAAAATTTTTTGTGTACTGATTTTTGGGCTGTGTAGATTTTTGAATTTTTAACCAAAGTGTTAAATATACAGCTTTCTGGAATTCATCTGGACTACTGAACCAGTCTCCATGGAATACATCAAAGATTCCCATTGTACTAAACTGCACCAGAGATTTAGAAGTGTTCATCCTGAGCTACTACAAACCACCAGGCCCTCAGAGGGCAGACTGAGCAACTCAACAGTACAGTACCCAAGGCACACGGACGCAGACAAGCGCAGAGCACAACCCAAAATGTGTACTTTTCTTCATACATCGTAAGTTGTATTTCCAGTGGGTCCTTTATTTTCAAAATAATGGAACTTAAAAGGTACTTGTAATCATTGATTCATTCAACAAGCATTTATCAACAACTAGAATGTGCCAGGAACTTTTCTAGGAATTGGAATGAACAGAAAAGTTCCCTACATTACATTCTCAAGAAACGTCATGCTCTCACAGCAGGGTGACTAGTTAGAACTGAATGGAATATTAACCACCTCCACAGATCATTTGCCTCTATTCGTGCAGATGTTCACTGCTGTTTTTCAATTTGCATCTTCCTGCATCTTTAAATATAGCTGGTCACACGGGTGTAAGGAGACAGCTGGTCTGAGAGTAAGTTCTTGAGTATTTTAACATACAAAGTATGTCTCAAAACAGTGCATCTAAAACCATGCATCACAGTGAAACACAGTCACAGCCCTGACTCCTGATCTGCGCTCATCACATCATTTTCACCACTACCCGCAGCAGTTCGGAAGCTCTTTCCTGAGTGTGCCACCTGACTGCCTGATGCCCTGAATCCACCCAGAAAATTCACCGTGTGGTGACTCAGAAGTCACGTGTCGCCAGGTTCAGCAAGGAGCGTTGCACGTAGCGTTCTCACGAGTCCCCTTTCCTGCCCGTGGCACTCAGCAGCATCCGCCGTGGCTCCGATCACACCTTGCAGATGCAGGAGATTCCAGAAGTGCCTCAGGAAACGGCAGGCACAATGGCACGTGTATCTGAGGCAAAGGAGTGTATTCGGAGAGGAACTGGCGCGACGTGTCTTTTACTACAGTAACTTAAAATTTTACACACCCACTGTGTGTTGTACTGCTCCTTGCACCAGTGGCTGTGATCTGTACGGTGTACCTCGCTCACTCTGGCATTTCACAATGAAGTCCCTGGCTCACACCGCTCGCGTTGCAAACTTTCATGTGTACTGTGTAAGACTCACTTTACTGGACACAAATGAATCCGACATATGTTCATCCCAAAAAGAATTCATTCCTAAGGAAGGGACTTACTGTCTGTACCTACTTACTCTCCTTGGTTAGACTACATCATGGAGAAGAGGACTGGAGAAGACTCTCTTCCTGTCAGGATTTCAGGTAAAGGGTTACAGGATGTGCACAGTGTAAAGAAAATAAATGCATTTAAACTTCTGTGCTGTGTTGCCGTTACCGTCTGCTGACGTGAATTTAGGATTACAAATATACCATCAAAACGGAAAGGTTTTACCTCAGTTATAGAGTAAAAAGCTGCACACCTGTAACTTGTAAGTTTTCAAAAATAATCGCTACTTTTAAAACCCCAAAGTTATTTTTAACTACTGACATAATGAACCTTGCATGTTTCACACCCTCTGCATAACCTAGAAGCGCAACTGCTCATCTTGATCAACTATCTGTGCCGGATGGGAAGGTACACTAGCTACACTGGGTGCTATTTTTAACTATTCTTAGAGTTGGGGTGCAAGCCAGAAATAAGGCCCGAGGCCATCAAAATGGTATCATCAAGATCAGAAACTGCACTGCTACTTCTAACACACCTAAAGCAATGGCAGTGGTCACCCTCTCTATAAAATGTAGTCTAAACCAGGCATGGTGGTACACAGGTGGTACAGGTACATACCTGTAATCCCAGAACACTGGGGAGCTCAGGCAAAGGTTTTTTAAGTTCAAGACTGGCCTAGACCACTCACCATAGAGTAAGACCTTATCTCAAAATAAAAAGCAAAAATGACTGGGGAGGACATGGCTCCACTAGACAACCCCTGGGTTCAATCCCCAGTACAAGAAAACCACCAACCAAACCTAGTCTAGAGCATAACACCCTTTTGGAATACTTTTATAGTGACCAGAACTTTCTCTGTTCTCAATTATGAATACAGTTTCTATTCCTTCCCTAGGACTTAAATGTTCAGTGTATGCTGTTCACTCTCCAAAAGATGTGTAAGTTTTGGAACAGTAGTATCTTCTTGATCTCTTATTTTTTCTTCATTAGCTATAATGGAAAGCGGCAGTTCTTTGACAGAGGAAACATGTAGCAAACATGATTGTTTGGTGATAGTTTTTGTGTCCTGAATTTAATTCTAAGTTACCCAAACTGGACTTTTAAAACTGGGTTTTTAAAGCTCTCAGCAGTAGGGCTTTTAGGAAAAATTCTTTTTATCAAGAAAACCTGTTTTTAAATCACAAGGATTCCAACATAAATCTTGAAAGTTTACTACCAGGGCAATGCTGACATTATACAAAAAAATTGAAACCCATACAGAGTAAGGAAACTAAGGTCTTGAAAAGAGCTGTAATAGTTCTTGTCCCTGTACTCTACTAGAAAGTATATTCAGAATTTATATCTCCTATCAACAATATATGAAGCACTTCTCTTCAGCTGTACACAGGACCAGGTATGTTTTGGATCTAAGAATAACTGCATAGACTTTATTGAACACTCTTTTTTATTGTTGTTGTTTTTGGTCTTTTTCCTTTTTTATCGGTACCGGGGATTGAACTCATGACTGCCTGCTTGCAAAGCAGGCGCTTATGCCGCTGAGCTAAATCCCCAGCCCCTATTGAACACTCTTAATGCAAAAATCCAAAACCCAAAACCCTGAATGTCACATTAGCATTCAAACATTTCAGATTTTAGAACATTTCAGACTTCAGATTTCTGAATTAGGGATATCCAATTTATATCCAATCTTATATTTTATTTATAAGTTAAATCTTTTATTCTTTTTCAAAAGAGAACCTATTTAACCCAGTAATTAATTAGGACATCACTGCTTCAATTTTAGGGGCAATCTGCTTTTCTAGTTCATTACCCAGTAAGGGTACATTTAATGGGGTGTACCTCTAACATCTAGCTTTCAAGTAAAGATTAAAAAAACAAGACAAACCCTGAATACCACTGTAGCTGTTGCTCCTTCCAGCTACACTGAGACAGCCTACCCTGTTCTAGACATCAGCTTCTAAATTGGTATTATTTTCTTAGTCCGAAATATCCAGAAACAACACCACAGAAGTTCTTGAACACTGGAAAATAGCATTTAAACTAGTCTAATCCTAAGACTAAGGTGGAAGAGAATAAATGAAATTCACAATCTATAAAATTAAGTAAAGGGCTTATTAAGGGGGAGAATCCAAAAGTATTGTTAATTGATAGAAATTTATTCTTTAAAAATACTTTCATGTACACTTCATGATTATTTTGAGGGGAACAAGATTATCCTACAGTCAATGTTAGTTTAGAACATAAATGACATGTGTAACAACACATTTTGGAAATAACTAGCAAAAAAAAAATTACATGTTTATACTGATTTAAGACTGCAAGATATTTATGATCTTGGATTAAATGACCCACAGTAGAATAAAATCAAAACCTACAGTTTTCTGACTTCTCCACTATTGTAATTTGTAACACCACAAAAATGAATTACTATTGCAAATCATAATTGGCCAAGACAAATGGAAATTCCATCAGAAGAAGTCATAAATTTAAATGCATGACACAATATGCAGTATCTTCCTGTTTTAATGTTTACCATACTGTAGCAATTCTATTAAAAAATGAATTACTATTTCAATAAAATTTTTATAGGGGAAAAAAGCTGAGGTTTTTGCCTACAAAAAATCCTTCAATATCTTACATTATCTAATACAGCAAAAAAGCCTTTAAAAATGCATTAACAAAGGTTCAGTTTGCATGGGAAATCTACCTCCCACAATATGGCTAATCATCTTTTCCACTGAATGATTTTAAATGGCAGAGTCTTCCTTCGTAACAGAAAAATATAGCATCTTCAATAGACATCTCAAAACATAAAGTTATATTAAAAAGACTCGGTCTATAATCAGAAATTACCAAGAAGCAAAAATAAACTATTTCATTGTACTTTTCCTCAGTAGTCACATATAATTACACAAACTATGGAGATCCAGGAATCAATGCGACATGTTCTAGATGAAGTAAATTTCACAGAACAAACAACTCTCATAAAATAGGTTTTTTCTTTTCCCCCTGAGAACCAAGTGAATCCATCACTGGATTGCAATCAAGACAAAGATAAGAGCTCTAAATCCTCTATCATGCCAAGATCAAATTGTGTAGACATTTCTACTTAAAAAGGCTAAAATGTACAAATAATGAAAATACAAATAGCAAGACATAGTACTTAAACAGAAGTACATGGCAGAAATTTGTATTTGGTAAAATACACAAGTGAAATTCTGGAAAAATGTATTGCTCTTGATGGAATATAGCACCACTTGAAGAATAAAGGATGTTTAAAATTAAATACCTTTTAATTAGATGCATTTATTAGAAAAGTACTTAAATTAATAATTCTGGAAAAGGTAAGTTTGAGAAAATTTTTGTGGCCTGTGTTTTACATGTTTACTCATTTTTGTCATTAAATAATCAGCAATTTATCCCTGTAAAGTACCTTACATCAGATTTGCCAATGTCGGTCTGATTATCACTCAATAAATACAAAATCAAGGGACAAAAAACTTTTTTCTTTATAAAACAAGTTAGAACATTATAAAGTATTTGCTTATGCCAAAAACATTTCAGGCAATTATTGCTTAAATATACAGTAATTAAATCAGTGAAATTTTCCAAAGCATGATTGAGAAAATTTCTTTAGTGTGCTAACATATTTTCCTAGGAGAGAAATACACAAGGGATATGTGAATATTGCCTACCCACCGTGGAAAAGAGCCCCCCAAGACTACTGTTCACCATGGAAAGTCAGAATTTAGAGGAAACAATGTGGTTACACACATGCTATACAAAGTCAGCCAGATGCTTTATAATTTGCAGCTAGCACTTACTCAAGTCCTTAGAAAGTAGAATTTTAAGTAAACTTCCTTATCCTAAAAGGTTTGAACAGATAAGTTGCTATGCAGAAGTACAGTACAAAGGTTTTTTTTTAAAAAAATGCAATCTTCTATAAGAAGTAAAATTTCAAAGCCAATCTAACAACAGGGATTTCCTCTGAGACAGACTTTATCCATCAGTGGTTCTTTGTTCTTCAATCATCTGAAATAGTCAGAATTACTACACTGGTAACCTTCATAGTAAAATGCAGTACCATCATTTAAAGTAGCTTGACTTTCTTATAATAACTATTTTAGGAGTGGCATTTCTAACCATTTTATCCAAGGTATGCACCAGTCATATATGGAAGCAGGCACAAGAATTCTAATAAAATTTGTAAAGGTTAAGAGTACTATGTGAGGAATAATGCAGCATGATCTGTGTTCTGGTGGGGGAGTAAACAAAAAACCTCCATGAATGAAAGAAACTACAGATACTTATAGTTGACATAGAAAAGGAGAATCACACTTTCATCAGACATTTTTAAAAAGAAAAATGTCTTGATTTTGTTTTCAACTTAGTTATTCTTTACATATATATACATACATATATATATATATAAAAAAAAATTGATTGGGGTGATGCAGAAAGCCACAAATGAGAAAAGGAAACTAAGGTTTTAATAAAGGGAACAAAAAACTGTTTTCACCAGTATAGATTCACATTACAGTACACCAATATTGACAGCATTCTCTTGTCTATTTTTGGTACAGAAGATGGTATCTCTCTACATAACCTTGTAAGGCTTCAGTAACTAAAAGGTAAAATAAAACCCCCCCAAAACAAAACAAAAACCCAACCTATTAGTTTACATTTTATTTTAAAAATTCTGAAAGACACTGCAAGTTCTAAACTTTTAGTAATGCTACTCATAATACAACCATCTGGTCAAGAACCCAGGAAAAGCGCCCCCTTAAGGAAGCTTTGCAACAGTAGCGTTGTGCAATATGGATGTTTCAGACTACAAGAAAAAATTATACATGGCACATTCTCATTCATATTTTGTAATGTAAAAAGTTACAAACATACCTAATCAAATAAATAATAATAAAAAAAAAGAATTTGAATGTATTTTGTTAAGTATCCTAAAACCACTACATAGAATAATGGCAACTTTCACTCACAGGTTATTTACATGGTAATACCCAGTGTGGGTACACTGCTACAGAACTCAAAACAGGAGTAAACTTGAAATGTTTTCCATAGTAAAGATCTAGCAGCATGACTATCTAATGCTGTTTTATCCCGACTGCTTCAGAAATGTTCTTTTTAGTCTGTGTCTTCATCCAGTTCATAATTGTCTTTATCATAAATATCTTTTACTAGAAGAACCCGTACGAGCATATTTTCCAAGGTGTTTCGGTCCAGTGAAGTAGATGTGTACCAGACAGGGCTATCTGTAGAACTAGAGCATTCTGGTTGCAAATAAAAAACATCCATCCTCTGATTAAGATTCTGTGGACTTTGAGGGAAAGGAGAGAAGGTCAATTTCAAGAAACACATTTAAAATTTCCCATAACTCTTATTTTCTTTCAAGAATAATTCAGGCCTAGTAATCATATTATGTGGCCAGATCCTTTCTACCTCATTGTTTACATTAAATATTGTCATTAAAAATATTCTGGTATTTTGTTATAAAAGACTATTTTTCTATAATTCAAACTGTGTTTCATTGAATGCAAGACTCCACTAATAAATGTCCCATTTTTTACGGGTGCCAATAATTTGAAAATGCATCAACTCAAACACATGCATCCTCCCCCCACTGTCAGAGTTAGTAAAATATGAAAAATATGTCTCAGAATTGATGAAATACGGCAATATATAAAATAAAAATCCTTATAGCATTACACAATAGAAAAAAATTTAAAATACCCCAAATAGCTGAGAGGAATTTTCATCTGATGACATTTACAGAGACTGTCACAGCCAAACAGAGTACCCTTAAATCATGGTCAGAAATCCTATTAACTTATTAGTGACATTTCTGTTTTTATGAGTTGTTTTAAAAAAAAAAATCATCCTTGGGACCTGGCTGTGATTTTACCAAGTTGTTTACATAAGGAGTTCATGAAACTCAACTCTGTTTTCATCTTAACCTGAAAATTAAAGAGAGTGCTTACTTTAAAAAAAAATGGACAAGAATAAAATAATCTGTGGTCCTTAAATATTTAAAGCATTTTAAATATATGCTGGTCTCTGTTTGGGGAAATAGCAGTGGTGGCATTTGGAAAGTATAGGACTTTCAGAACATTATTTTAAAGAACTTTCTCTTTTAAACGTACACTCTATTATCATCGCCACCCATTGTATTCCACCTCTGAACACACCTTTCCACCGAGAGTTGGCAGAGGACAACCAGCCACCAGTTTGTGTAAAATTTCAGTACAATACAGGTACCTGCTACAGCTACAATGTACACATAGTATCTGGCTGTTTTCTAGCTTTCCCAAACAATGAAGTAGGCTTAGATAGATTCAAGTGCTCAAAAGTCTCAAATATTTATCTGACCCTTTATAGAAAAAAAAAGTCCTATGCTCCTCCTTTGCATGATCACTGGAATAGCTATAATTTAAAAGATGACAGTAGCAGTAACTCCTTTAGTAGACAGTAATTCCTCAAAGATGAGTCCTGACGTATGACATATGAGCTGGGTATTTCATAATAATGGGACAAAAAGTTAACAGTGGATTTGGAAATAAGAAGAGAAATCTAAATCATCGGGGAAATGGCATTTATTGGTAGTATTAAATCCAACCAACTTACATAATCATTTGAAAAAGTCAACTATCATTACTGCTTACCTTTTAGACAAGTAACATTCAAACATTTTCACAGGGCATCTAGAAGGGTTGGTCGTGTTTTCAACTTGTTCAAATACTGGCTCATCATCTTCATGTTTTCTTTTTCCAGTAGTAATTTTATCTTAAAAAAATAAAAATTAAATAAACCTTCTAAAACCAATCTTGAAAACAACAGTACTTTTTACTTCTATCAAAAGTGAACTATGTGCCCTTCAGCATTATATGACCACAATGGCTTCTGGGAAAGCGTAATTTTTCAAATGAAAGAAACAGACTTTCTAAGGCATAATTTGTCTTGTTTTATAAAAGTGACATTCCTTAGGTTCTTCTCAAGTAAGGCAGGTGGGCTTCAGCAAAGCAAGATTTGAATATCCTCACCACAGAAAAACTCAAAAGAAAAATCTGCTCTGGTACATTACCCTCATTGTCCGTTCCACACAAGGAAGACACTTGGTATCGAAGACAGGCTTTGTTTTCCATTGTTAAAGGATTTTTTTTCCAATGCCTAAACACAGTGCCAAAGGAAAGTCTTAAGTGTTGTTCCACTGTTTTCAGGCCAAAATACTTAGTGTTAAAGTAGAACAGGGTATTCAAAAGAGCTACTGGAGAGTGTGATCCTAGTTGTCTTATCCTCCAGAGATAGTCTTCTTCAACTCGAGAGAATATTGACCCTTAAACAGAGAGAACTACTTTAAAATAATTATAAAAAAGTTTTCATTTAACCATCTAGAAATAAAATTAATTCAAAACAAACATATACCAGTCCTCTGTTCAACACTAGGTCAACTGGAATGAATTTTAGAATTACTTACGTAGCTCTTTAAAAAAAAAAAAAGACTAAGAAACGCATCAGACTATGGAACTATCGTTTCTAGAATAAGGAACTGGATGTGTGTTTCTGTCCTTCAGTAGGACAAGCAGCTAATGGTCAGAAAAACTTAAACCTGTAGAATTCCTGGGGGAAAAAAGGGTGATTTTCATACATACACACTTTATACATCTCAACAGTAGGATCTCCATTGTAGAACTTAAGATATAAACATCCAGTTTTGCCCTCCAGAGAGAGTAGGCTGTATGTCTTATGAAATTCATTATAAACACTAATTGACCATATTCATTTCTAGTCCAGCAAGAAATGAACAGGTTAATTCTCTAAATCCTGAGTTAATTCTCTAAAAACTGCCAATTTACTTTACAGTTATTTTAAATACATTTTCTGAAAAAATAGTTCAACACCAAGTTAGCAAAGCTATTTGAAATAGCATTACCATCAGGAAGTATGCTTGGTTGCCAACTTCGGAGTATTTTATTCAATTCTTGCTCAAACATCTGGTATCCTGGATCAATAAATATGTTGTCCTTTCGGTTACTACCACATAAATACTATAAGAAAAAAAAAATTTCTTGAAGGAAAATCAGTTAACTATAAACAGTGAATAAATTACACTTCATATTTCTTAGGACAACAATAAAATTTTCTAAGAAAAGCAAGCATAGTAACAAAATGAAAGAGATTAGTGGCTTCACGTATATAATTATAGATCACAAAGAATCTTAAATTGTCAATCTATTGTTTAAACACTCAAAGCTGAACTACACAGCCCAAAATCTAAAAACTGGGTAGTATTTACTATAGAGAAAATTATATATAAAGTATGAATAACTAAATTTACTGTTTCTAGATGCCTTATTTCTCTACCTGTTAGTCCAAATTTATGAATCTTATACCTTACCGAGACAAACATTAAAGCTTTACAGTAAGGAGTTGCCACAAAATGTTTAACCACTAAAGTTTGCAATGTCTACCTTTTGTGCGATTATGATAGCAGCACAAACAAAGGAAAGCAAGAATTAAAAGTGCACTGATGTAACTACACGAAGTGCCATACACGAAGTGCCAATCGTTCTCTGTCTGAAGGCAGACAACGATTCATCAAAAATATGTGCTGTAAATCCTGGGGCAATCATTTAAAAAAAATTTTAAGAGATACAAATTAGGGCTAGGGATTTAGCTCAGCTGCATTAAATGCTTCTCTGGCAAGTGCAAGACCATGAGTTCAATCCCTGGTTCCAAAAAAAAGACATACAAATTATAAACTAATTGCACAGATAAATGAAATTACAAAAAATTCTTTAAAAGATGAAAAATCAAAGGTAACAATAGAAACCAGCAGAATGACAGACTTGATTCCAATAAAAGCAGTGAGCACATTAAATATAAAAAGCTCTAAACCAGTGGTAGTGGGGCACATGAGCCAAATGTATGAGTTTGTTTTTTCTAAACTAAAACCTCAGTGTTTAGGTTTACTTGCAGTGTTGGCACTTTACAATAAGTAAGTAGGTTCTGGGTTACAGTTCTGGTGCTCAGTCTCTGAAAGGTCTGCCATTACTGCTATAGACCAACGTCAGTAAGTACACTCTCTGAGCTGTATCCAGCCCACGACCTACTTCTGTAAATTAAGTTTCCTGTGAATATGGATGCTGGTTCATTTGCAGATTCCTGCTGTCTTTGTGCAGATCCCTTCCTGTCTCTGCTCTAGGATGCTTTGTTTCTAAAAATGGTACATTTGAATGGTGGCTACAGGGACAATCAAAGCCTGCAAAACCTTAACCATCAGGTCTTTTAAAAAATTTTTTCGTTTCAGTTCTAGACATACTAATTAAAACATACAGAATGTCAGACTGGGATTAAAAAACAAGACCGAGTGATAAAACATATACAAAAATCCCCCACTATTTTAAATAAAGATACATGAAAGGAAAAACTTCCTCATTGATACATGACCCTCACACTACAATGTCATTGTGTTATCTAACCTTACATCTGTCATAATTCTAAGAGTAGAAAAACGTGAACAAGTGCTTTTCAAATAGGATGATAATTGATTGACTGATAAAAGCCTGGGAATCAATGAAGCAACAATGCCAAATCCTTCCACTGTTTTTGGATTGGTCAGCAGGCAGGAATTCTAAAAATACTATTTCCTAAACTATGTGTACCATTATAGCACGGACTGGGTAAAATACAACAATTCAATCTATTTAATGGGACTGCAAATTTTTGTAGAGTAAGGTTCCTGCATTTTTAAAGAAGTAAATTTAGTTATATATTATTTAAAACTATCTCAAAAGTAAAAGCTCCAGGTTTAGAATAGTAAATTTGTATCTTTGTTCTTACCATAAGCATAATAAAAGAGAATGAACCTGAAATAATATATTTATCTGTGAACCCAAAAAGAAAGTAAAAATAACTTTTATGCATGTTTAGAACTTGCGTAAGAACAAGTTAGTAATTTTTGACTTGTGGTACACACAAGTCAACGCTACTTAAAAACAGCTGCTAAATGAGATGTCAACTCTTGATCCTTCTGAAAAAGTTTCTTTGGCTAATCCATGATGCATTAGTGACCTGTGCCAGAATGAATGTACTTTATTAGCCCTTGTTGTCATCTGAGAAGCAATATAGTATTATTTCACTATTATCTCCACTCAAGGTAGTTCCCATTTTCAAACACCACCAAGGCCCTTAAAGTAAACAGAAACCCACATAAGCAAAGAAAGGCAAAGAGCAGCTAGCAAGGACGGCAGCAGCTCACAGCAACAAACTCAGAGAAAACTCCGTGATAGGACTGTTTGAATAGCAGTTATTTTATTTTTTTTGAGGTAGGGTCTCAGTATGTAGCTGAGACTTATGAAAACCCTGAACAGCAGTAACTTAGATCTAGCCTCCCAAGGAGCTGAATTACAGGCACACGCCACTGTACCCAACTAGGTACATTAATTTTAAATCCTCTAGTGGCCACTTTTTTAAAAAAGACAGAAATACGATGTATTTTTTCTTAACACAATATATCCAAATTATGTAATTTCAACATTTGAAAAAAATAAAGTTTTGTGAAATCTTGTATTTTTTATTATGTAAATACTTCTCATTTCAGAACAGTCATATTTCAAGGACTCTGAATCTTATAGACTGAAAAGTCTGCAGAACAATGTAATAAATAAGACTATTTAAGTAGAAATTATGACACTAGTATTTCGGAAGAATGAAAGCCTTACAAAACACAGTTAATATGCAGTTGGAAAAATCATAGTTTTACAAAGTATTTCAGACTACTAACATGCTTGTTCAGACATGTACTGCTACTGTATTGTCAAAGAATGTTTTGGGAGAGCTAAAGAAGAAAACCTACTGTGTTATAAAATTAAATGCTGGGAATACAAAATGTTAATCTGAGGGCTACTGAGAACATTTAAAACATATATTTACAAGTCTCTATAGTCAGTTTTATTAAATGTTATCTGAATAAAGCTTCATTAAAAACAAAGATCCATTATTAATTTAGCTGCAAATTAGTAGTTCTAGACAATCTACATTTCAATAATGTTCTGGCCGGTAGCTGCCTATGTTCCAGAAAAACATCCAGTGTGATCTTTAAAGCTCCTAGAAAGCAAGACTGATGATATGGTCAATTGGTAAAATTCTTGCCTAGCATGCTCGAGGCTTTGAGTTCTATCCCCAGCCCTACACAAACAAATACAGGAACACTGAAAGGTGTGGCGGTGAAGGGAAGGGGAAGGGAGCAAGCCAGACCTCTGCATGCTTCATGCTGGACAAATGCTGAAGACTAAACATGCATCAAGGAACATCTGTGTAATACTGTCTAGTGCACCTCTCATTCCAAGTAGTTCCTTGAATATTGTACCATTGTGTAGATTTCACTTTTACTGGGATGTGACTGTCCTTCCGTTATTCTTTATATATGGTAAATGTCTACATGTTCTTCAAAACTCAATTACAAAATGGACATTGTGGTACAGGCAAGTAATTCCAGGACTCTGGAAGACTAAAGCAAGAGGATTTCAAACGCCAGATCACCCTGGGCAATTCAGCAACTCAGGAGACCCCGTCTCAAAAATACAAAATAGTAGGGTATGGTGGTGCTTGCCTGTAATCCCAGCACTTGGGAGGCTGAAGCAGGAGGATTGCTATAAGAGTTATAGGGAAAGCCTGGGCCACACAGTGAGTTTAACTATGTAGTGAGATCCTGTCTCAAAAAACAAACATCCACAAAATAAAGAGGTCTGAGGTAACACAATGCAATAGCCCTAGGTTGAATCCCTAGAGTGTGTTTGTGTGTGAACACACAACAGATGACAACTCAATTAAATTGCTATATATACCCTCCTATCATACATTTAGGTAGAATTTACTTGTTCTAGTTCTGTGTTACTAATGTATCAAATTTCTACCATATTGAAGTTTATGGGCTATGTTATAACGGGGACAAGCTGTTTTACTCCAAAAAAAAAAGTACCAGTGCTTTCCAAGGGTGTGGTGGCATACACCTGTAATCCTAGCATGTGGGGGAGGCTGATACAGAATCACTCTGAGTTCGATGCCAGTTAGAGAGCTGTACAAGCAAGTTCAAGGCCTGCACTAAATGGAGAGACCCTGTCTCAAAAAAGCAAAACAAAACAAACAAAAAAGTAATAGTAGTAGGTTAAAGACATTAAATGATAGGCCTAACACTTAGCACAGTGCACAGAAACAATAAGCAGTCAATAAACATAATAAGTTATCAACATACTTATCTCAACCTCCAAAGCCCATCCCAACACCCAGAGTTCAGTAAACAGGCACTTAACTAATGTTTGTAGAATTAATCACTCAGAGAAGAATTACCAAAACATCTTATCACTGTTTAAAATGTAAGCATAAAGAAAGCTGAACTTAAATTAAGAGGTCATAAATGCATTTATATGTATTTTTAAAACTTAGAAAGTGGAATTTACTTTAAAAAAAAAGACTATAAAAGACATTATGTAAAAAATACAATAAAAATCTTGGGCACCATCACACAAAGTTTATCTAGAATACACAAAGAACTTCTTACAAAATCAACAGGATAAATAAACCATCAAAAGGGTAAATCACAGAAAAGCAAATGTAAATGAAAAACATGAAAGATCCTCAATTTTTAGGAAAGCAACATTATGGTGCAGTGGCACATGCCTGTAATCTCAGCATTTGGGAGGCTGAGGCAGGAGTATCACTGTAAATTTGAGGCCAGCCTAGGCTACACAGTAAATTCAAGGCCAACCCCAACACAGATCCTGTCTCAAAACAAACAATAAACAGACATAATTTTCTTAAGATTCAACAATAACTTTTTAGTAATATTTCAGAAATAAAAGCACCAGTTCTTAAAGAAATAGCTACTTACTTCTGTCTACATGCAAAAGACCTTGTCCTTACAACTAAACCATTAATCACCTTTCAACAGACATGTCAGGTCTGGAATGGTACTGTACACCTATACTCCCAGCACTCTAGAGTTTGAGGCAAGAGGACCACAGATTTGAGTCCACAGATTCTTAAGCAACTTGGCAAGATCCTGTTTCAAAAATAATTTTAAAAGGGCTATAATATAGTTTAGGGAAAATGTCCTGGGTTCAATCCCCAGTATGGGAAAAACTTTGCAAAGCAAAACAAAAAACCCCTTCCTCTCTTGAATAAAATTATCTTACTTCTATTGTCAGACATAATCAAAAGCAATAAATGAAAACGACAGAAAAGATTCTTCTGTATATATCCTTAAAGGAACATTAAATAGCACTGATTTCTGTATATTTTAGGTATCAATTATAACCCTTTAAAAATGGGCCTTCTGACCCATTTTTGAATACCTACAATAGTAGAACACAATATAATTCTCTTCAAATTCTTGTTCCTTGAATTTTTCTAGGTAATGTATGAATTTCATGCAAAAATTTAAAAAACTACAATATTCAGCACCAATGGGTTAAAGCTACTTATAAACACCATCTGTTCGAGTAAATCAAGTCTCTGCAAATGTGTCAGAGAAAATACAGTGTACAATTTTCAAAAACTGTGGTCAATATATAAAGTAAAATTCACCACCTGAATCATTTCCATGGTTACAGTTCAGTAATGAATCAATTTTTGTGAGGAAACATTTTAACAATAAGAAACCTACTAAATTGGGAATAGTGGAGGAGAATGGAGGATGGAATGTTCAAGACCAGTCTGGGCACCTGAGAGACTCAATCTCAAAATTTTAAAAGGGTTAGGGATGAGCTCAGTGAGTATCTGCCTAACATGCCTAAGGCTATGGGTTAGATCTTGGGGAGGGGGGACGACCCACCTACCCACAAAACCACAGAACCCAAGCAACCGCCCGAACAAAAAAATTTGCTTTTAACAAAAAAAAAAAAAAAAAAAAAAAAAAATCTGACATATGCTACAATGTGGGCGAATCTTGAGAACATTATGCTAAATGAAATGTTAGACACAAGAGGAGAAACACTGTATGATACCACTTATATGAGGTGCCTACAGAGATCATATTTATAGAAACAGTAGGACAGTAAAGAGGGCTTGTGGGACAGTAAAGAAAGAACTATTAACAGACTATTATATCTGCCAACATGAAAGCATTCCAGAAATAGATGGTGATGATGACACAGTAATGTGAATACTTAATGCCACTGAACTGTATACTTAAAAATGGTAAATTCTGGGCAGGGTATATAGTTCAGCATCACAAGAGCCTGCCTGGCAAGCACGAGGTTGTGAATTCAATCTTCATTACCAAAAAAATGGTAACTTTGTTTTATATGTACTTTACCATAATAACAAAAATTGGTGGGTAAAAAGGAATCTTTTAAAAGATATGAACAATTCACAATCATTCATTATAAAATCTACTTAGTTCTCAAACCTCTACAGTAGAGTTAAACTAGGGGTAGGGAAGATAAACAAATTTTGAAAAGGACATAACAAAGAGCAAAGCTCAAAAAAGAAAACCAAATATAATGGATAGACCTTAGGCTAACCAGCAGTCCAAGCAAACTTAACCCTGGCCCCTCTGGGCCTTCCACCTGTTTTTGGTTGCTAGTGTTTAGTAGCCCTTGAACTATGACTTTTTTTTGTTCTTTATATTTATAAATGATTTTGTTTAAAGCACTTAACTAAATAGATATCCAATATTCCTAGAAGTTTGATTCCAATATTCCAAGAATATTCCTTGGTTTGCTAATGCTTATATTATTTATTATCTTAACCTGTAAGAAAGTTTGCTGAATCTTGAGCTGGACTGTTCAAAAAAGAAAAGGAAGTCACAAATTTACTAATGTAAAACATGAAAGTATGATCACATCCTATAGGCACTGAAAAAGCAAATAAGGGAAGGTTTTCAACTTATTTTAAAAAATTTGGCTGTCACAAAATACAAGTTTCTTGAAAGATATAACTGCCAAAATGACTCCAGAAGAAACAGAAAAACAAAAACAGGGCTATATCAGCTGAAGAACTGACAGTCATTTAAAACCACTTTTATATTGCCAATCAATCAATCCCAGGCCTATACAGCTTTAATAATAAAACTTACAAAACATTTAAGAAAAAATAATACCAATTCTCATAAATTTCTTCAGAAAAATAGGAGAAAAGAGTATTTAGCTCATTTTATGAGGCCAGTACTACTCTATTGCCAAAGCCAATAAAGATAAAAAATTATGGATTATCCCTTATGATTATCCACAAATGATGTTTATAATACATTAGCACATCTAATCTGGAAAAAATATAAAAAGGGTAATACATCACCATCAAGTGAAGTTTATCCCATTAATGTAAGACTGATTTAATGTCATTCAAGAAATAAAAAGAAAAACATTGTCTCAAAAGATAAAGAATAAGCGGGTTTCAAAATTCAATAACCATTTACTATAAAGGCACTCAGCAACAAAACAGAAAGAAGGCAGGGGACAACATCAGTTAACTAGGAACAGAAGAGAACATCTCCAACTAGGTAATAGAAGCTATAAAAAAATGAACAACAAAATAATCCAGTAGTTGGTAATATATTTAACAGAGTATTTCAACCTCTTGGAAAACAGGATATTTTAAATAATGTAATAAAGCAAGAAAAATAAAAAGACACAAAGGCTGAAGAGAAATAAAACTGTTTTATTCACAAATATTATGTATATAGAAAATTCTAAGGAAAACAACACCTACCAGAAATAACAACTGGCACAGAATAGAAGATACATACATAAAAACCAAATGCATCTCTATACTATTTGGCAATGCCAAGGGAAATACTAAAACAGCAATATGTAGCAAAGCAAATGCAGCAGAGATAATCCCATTTTGCTGCTGCTTTTTTAATACTTGTCTACTTTTAAAACTGTATTATTTGCACACTAAGTTTTAAGACTGTTTCTAATAGAATGCTCTTATAAATACAATTTTTTACAGAATCCCAAAACAAAGCCAAAAAGTAGTGCAGGATTAAAACAAGAAAATAGCCTAGAACTCACTCTCTTGTCTTCCTGTTGCTTAACTTGGCAGAACTGTGGTGTGTCTACAATACTTTAATACTTGGTCTGGTCAACAGGATTATCTAAGATTAAAATAAATGTTTTCTTTTAAGAAAGAGTAAGCTTTGGGGGTTTTAAAATGGTGTAACTACACCACTACAGCAAGGATATAAACCTGTTAGTACCATAACACTGCATTTTAGGCCAGTCAGCAAAACACTAAAGAGAACTCTGTTTGCAATTACCACATTTTAAAATACAAAAGGATTAGAAGCTGAAGATCCTTTTTGAACTCTGGGGGAAACCTAAAGAATGTGTTGAGAACTAGAGACTGTTTTTTAAACTTGATCTTTATGTTTACTGTGGAAAAGTTACATTCATAGACATGTGTATGAAGTTTATCTAAAAGCCCTAAGAATGATCCACCAAAGTTGGTAAGCAGTTTCACAGTTTAAGAAGTTAGAAACACATCAGACACAAAGAATAAAACAGATCTTCTATACCGGAAAGTAAGACATCTTTCTACGTAAATGCAGATCAGTACAGGTTTACAGCCAAATCTGGCTACACATTGTGCTCCATAAATGTGAATTAAGTTATTTGCAACAGGTAAGGAAGAAACACTGTCATCTCTATTATCACCTATATATGGGGGCAAAAATACAACTGTATTATACTGGATACAAAGGGTATGTGGGTTTGGAGTAGCCTGTCCATATCCCATTTTCCTCAAAAGTTCTTTATGGTTTTAATACACTGTCTTAAAGGACTTCAGGCTTTAAGAATATATGTACTATGTTATAGTAGAAACACAAAATATCTGCGAAAACCTTTTATAACATCCTGGCATTTCCAAATACATTTACAAAACTGTGTTTTGTGGTAAGCTAGTAAGTGGATATATATTTTCCTCTCCAAGAACTACCAAGACAACTTTTAATAATGTTTTATTTGAAAGCAGTCAACAAACAACTAACCTCCTGTATTCCAAGGCAAAGATAATAGATGCTGTCAGGTGCATAATTCTCTCCATTTGGCCTTCGGATCTCATTGACAAAATGGGCTAACCCATAATTAAGTTCTGATGTGGTGTGAGACAGTAGATCTTCTTTTAACTTTACTGATTTGGCTAAAAAAGATACAAAATAAAAATAATTATTAAACTTATGTCTTAAAGTTAAAAAATTTTCTGATTTATTCTAAGAATTTTGGTTTTTTTTATTACATGCAATTTATAATCATCTTGGGGAGTTGGTTCTATGAACTTTGAATTAAAATAACGATAATGCAGTTAGAACTATTTTAAGTCATACTTATGTTTTTGTAATTAAACGCAGTAATAGGTAACAAATCTGCATTTTTGATAGGGCTTAAGAAAAAAAAAATCAAAACACTTACAAGATTTTAGTTCATCTAATACCAAAAGATCTTCATCAAGCTGCCTTGTTTTGACCCAGTGTTTCCATGCGTTCACACCGTATGAATACTTGAAAGGAAAGCTGCATTCTGAGTTGTCAGAACTATCATCGTGAGACTGGTACCCTGATACAGCTTTTCTCTTGGCTCCCTATTAATGAAACATCACTGTAAATTCCTTTTTTTAAACATGCAATATTTCACAACTTTAGGTAAGCCATATCAAGAAAGGCAAATTGCAAAGATATATATTTATCTACTTTAGAATTGGCTAGAATTTCTGAATCTGAAATAGGTGATTACCAGTTTAACATTTCTTGACTTAAAGAAAATTTACTGATGGGAAAATAAACAAAACAATAAACTAATCAGCTATAATGAAAGAATTCTAAATAATAGCATAACAGAAAAAGTAAAGAACATTTCAACAACATCATGTAAGGAAAGATCATTTAAGACTCTTTTTCAACTTTTTAAAACAAGGCTGGAGATTGAACCAGGGCTTTGCACATGCTAGACAAATGTTCTACCACTTCATCCCCACCCCCATCCTTTTATCTTTTTGATGGTACTGTTTGCAATGCCATCAATTTATCAGTCCAATTTATCCTTTTTAAAATTTTTGTCACTTTTTAAATGTTTTGTGTGTTTTACAAAAAACTGCCAACCAGAAAGTCACGAAGGCTTTGTTTTCTTGAAAGTTTTATATGCTTACTTTTACATTTGCCTCTATGACCCATTTGGAGCTAATTATTGCATATGTCAAATAAAAACTCACCTTCCTAGCACAAAAACTTTAAAAAAAATTTTTTTTTCCTTTAGGGGAAATTTGTGAAAGGTGTGACTCTCTTATGGTGTCTTTTGCTCTTGAGATATGTTGTAAATCAGAAACAAAATTGTTGAAGGACTATTTTAAAAATAATACCCGTTAATATATTTTGCTTATCTGAATGCTCAAGCTGTCAAGACATGTTCAGCATGCTTGGAAAACTACACCTCATCCTAGTTAGTTCTCTCATCAAAAATAACTATGCGAAAAATCACTTCCTAAAAAATATCTCCCCAACCTTTCTTTAGCTAAGTTTACTTTCTTCAGCAATTTATTTCTACTTTACTTTATCGTCAAGATAAATTTTAAATGAAAAGCTAAGAGGCAGCTGCGAGGAGGCAGACTACTATAATCCCTGCACTGAGGAGGCTAAGGCAGGAAGATCCTCTTGAGTTCAAGGCCAGCTTGGGCTACAATAGTTCAAGATAGCCTGAGCTACATAATAAGAACCTGTCTCCAAAAACAGGAAAACAAAACAAAACAGGCAAATAAAAAAAATCCCCAAACTAAGAAGCAATAATAATATTTAGTTGTTACATCTTTTAGGATGTAACAACTACAACTAAGGCATTTTTATAACTTGTAAATAAATTCCTTACACCCACTTTTTTAATTAGGAAACATAAACTTCCCATAATCTCAAGCACACCAATGACCAGTGTATTCTCGGGGCCTACAGAAAGACTTGAGGCCTATAGAAACGTTAAGTGAATGCAGGAATACTATTAAATTTTGTACCTTTTTTTTAGATCGAGGTCTGGGTTGTTCTTCATATTCTTCTCCAAAAACAGGTGGTAATAAAAATTCATTTTCCATATCAAGCTCTTCAGCAGCTGACGAATCAGAAAAACTCTTATTTCAAATGTAATAGCACAGTCTTATATTACATAAGGAAGCCAAAGAACCAACCACAGAATATGAACAAGCATTTATATACGAGGATAACCTGAGGCTAGAAAGTGCATGACATGATGTACCTACAATAGGCTGAGTTCTGATAAACCTTATTCAGACTCCAACCATCAACAAGTATCACATGGGCTTTTCATAGAAATGTGTTATCAAAAAATTATTATATTTGAAACTCAGTCGTCATATCTAAAAAGTCACTGTGCAAATCTGTTCCAACCTTTTTCCAAAAACATTTTAAATTCTATCATGTTCAATAGCCACTCAGACTCAACAAAATAATTTTTAAAAGTATTTCTTATAGAAGATGTGAAAATAATTTTCCTCTTGAAAATGAACTTAATTTTCAAAAATGTCCTAAGAAAAATGCTATTTTTAAATTAAAAAGACACTTTAATTTTTTTTAATCTTCAACTTTCCATAATGAATTACTTTCATAAACTGTTTCTCTTTCTCAAACTCAAAGCAGCAATTATAGAGCACATTCGGGCACTGTGCGGGAGATGAAATAATTATGAACACTATAAAGAAGATATTAATATTAAATGGTTAATAATCGTAACTACAATTAGGGATTTTATAATGTCATTCAATAATCATAAAGTCGTATTTTGAGTACCTCTGGGAAAATCTATTTCAATATCCAAATCAGGTTCATATGGTACATCAGGCATGCTGGGCTGCATCTCTGGGTCAGAGTTCTTCATGAGATCTGAACCAACTATATCAGTTTCAACAATTACACCTGTAATCAATTCATAATTTCATTAGGAGGCAAAAGAGAAACCCCCAACAAGATTTATATTTACTCTGCTAAAACTAAGTCATTTAATTGTAAATACAGTAAAAATAAATACTTAGAAGAATGTCTTAAAGGGAAATATGTAAATTACTATGAATATCATAATTGGAAGCTAAAATCTTAAGTTTTAATCCTAGAAATTTTGATGGTTCCTTCTCAAAAGTTAATATATGGGCTTTGATAGTTAAACAATTCCAGCATGTATATTTCAGCAATTTCTTGTCAGAAATAAACTGAGGGAAAATAGCAATTATCAAACATTTTACTTGAATTTTGACCTAGAAATCTTCTATATCATTCAATATACACTTATTTTCAAATAGCTTCAAGTGTTTCAGTTGTTCAACCCTTTCTGTTGAAGCCATGGTAGGATATATATTTTACACAATGTTTACTACCAGATGACAGTGGAAGACAGAAAGATAAACAGACACATACTCACAAACTGAAAGTAAGTTTCACAAAACAGTATTTACCCTCTGTATGAAGGACTGTACTCATGTTTACCTCCTAATCCATGTCATTTTTTTTTTTTAATGAAAACTGGTTGCATCCTACTAAGCTAATTTCACAATTCCTTAATACAGAAACACTACTACATGTAACTGGAAAGCTACATGTTTTTCAACATGCTAGAGCAGTACTGGTGAAACCAGGGCACATGTGCTGCAGCAAGCTGTTTGCGTCACTCAAAACTCTAAAAGGTCACCATCACTGACCTAGGGCAAAAGATATTAAGCAGCTCATAGCTGAAACAAAATACTGCGTATCACCAGTGGGCTAAGGGTACAATAAATATTCTAACAGACTCAGATCATCTAAAACATACTCATGTAGAATCACCTACACCAAGTTGCAAGTCTTCGTCTAGTAAGGGTTAAGATAAATTCTGGCTTACATAATACAAATTATTTTACTAATATAAGGAGTAAAACAAATTTGGTACAACTATTACAAAATAAAAGAATTTGGATTATTTCTAAAGTCCATTATAAATTAGTTTTGTGTCTGTGCTACTCTATTATTAAGACAAGTTAACCCAAGAGAGTATAGGCTACGCCATCTCAGCAACTTAAGAGGCCAGGGTAGGAGGGTTTGAATCTACAAGTTGTAGACAAGTCTGGGGAAAAAAGAAGATCCCAGCTCAAACACCCATGAACACTTGCATTCACACGGAGCACACAAATTCCGGTTTTAGAGATCAGACTTGACATTAGAGGGCACTGGCAAGAGGTGGAATGGAGTTCTTAATGCAATATGCATTTTGTTGTATTTCCCCTTACTGTTAGATCAATCTGAAATGCAATGATATCCCTAGGCAAGTATCTAATAACTATGTTTCTTAAAACACACATATAGCCACGTGTGTGTAATTCCAATACTGTAATTCCAATACTCGGGGAGTGGAGGCAGGAAAATCGTTGTGAGTTCAAGACCAGCCTGGGCTATAGAAGTGAGCTCAAGGGCAGCCCTAATTGCACAGCAAGACCCTGTCTCAAAAAAAGACAAGCAAAACAAAACAACACATACATACACACAGGCAATAATAAACTTATTCAGAAAGTGAAATAAACATAGTGTTGCTCACTGTTGATGCTGGATGCCTCTGTTTTTCCCTCATCTTCAACCATCATATCTGTCATCGTAAGCAACTCTGTATCAAGAGGATCTGAAGAAACTTTGCTTTTTAAATCCTCGATTGCTGCAGGAATTTTCTCACTGCTGTCCAATGGAGCAGGTAGAAAAACAGGAACGGGTACCTAAATTAACCAAAAGCATTGAGAGGTAAGTTTACAAAACATTAAAAGGTATTTTTCCTATTAAAAAATCACTCTGCCCAGGTGTGGTGGAGCACACCTATAATCCCAGCATTGAGGGGGGCCAAGGGAGGATCGCTGCAAATTCAAAGGCAGCGTGAGCTACACAGTGAATTCGAGGTCAGCCTCAACTACACAGTGAGACCCTGTCTTGACTCCCAGCTCCAATCATTCTGATACATGACTTACTTTACAACATCACACTGAGAAAACGTTTTGCAAAGAATCAAACTATGATATCTACTGTGACAAGATAAACCCAAAATACAAGCGGCTACTACCTATAATACAAATTAAAGGAATTTTTGAGGTATTTCCATCCCCTAAGGGGGTACAGCAGCCAAACTCAGATAAAATGATATAAGTATTACAAGTAATTTGGGAGGGAATGTAAGCTGTTCTGTTTCAGCTCCTTTGGCGGAGTGGGTACAGGCAATCGAACTCACGATCTTGGGTTTGCCAGGCAGGTGCTTACACTGCAGAGCTAAATCCCCAGCCCTCTATTTCAACTCTTAAACCTTATGTCTTCACAAATATGTTTTTCAAAAATGAGATGCAAAACGTGCAAAGCAGGACGTTCCAGTGGTACAGTCGGGCCACACATGGTACTTACACAATGAAATGTACCAAGCGCACTAAGGCATCTGCTACAATTCATTCCCAATGATGCACACACACTCAGTTAAATACAAAGCAAGATCATAACAACAGGGTTCAACCAAATTTAACTGTGGACAAAAGGCAGCTCTGGTCTTACCAGTTTCATTGAGTTTACCCGTGCCTGATAAATCTCAAAAAGAAAAAAAGAACTAAAACCCTGACTTACAGGAACAGGAACTGTGGTCGGAACAGGAATATTCTGACTGTACATGTGCATTGGTACTGGGATATACACTGGAACAGGGATGGGCACTGGAACATACTCTGTCTTCCAATTATCATCTACAAAGGTAAGACATGGTAATGAACAGTGGTAACTAGCACTTACAGATAGATAGCTATTCAAGGGTTTAAAAATTTGATGAAAAATTAACTACCTCATTACCCACTTAAACAAAATTCCTTTCTGTAACATTATATAACTTAAAAACAACAAAACAACAGCTGCTCTAAACTTGTAACAAATAGAATTTAGGTTCTTTAAAAAAAATATCCTTTAAAACTCAATGTCTGGCCTCAGCCTCCTGACTGCTGTGATTGCAGATGTGCACCACCACATCCAGCTAGCTTTTACCTAGGCCACTTCTCTTCCAAGGAGGAGGAGAAGGCCCTCTATTTGGAGACTTTTGGGCAACAGGGAACTCATCTTCTCTTTTGTTTCCTCCTTCAGGAAAAAAGAAAACTTCAGTGTAGCTCTAGGATGGGCATGGCGGTACATGCCTATAATCCCAGCACTCAGAAGGCTGAAGCAGGAAGATCCCAGGCTGTGCTGCACAGTGAGTTCAAGCCCAGCCTGGACTATATAGCAAGATTCTTTAAAAAAAAAAAAAAAAAAAAAGGCAAAACAAAACAATGTAATTCCTAACATCCTACCAGACTGCGCTCACTCCTCTCAACGTTTTAAAATCCACTGAAGTAAGAGCTAGCTAAGATGTTAATGTGGCACAAATCTGAATTACTTCACTTCCTTCTGACAGAAAACAAAGATTACCACTGCAGACCATAAAGAGATGATTTTTCTCAGAGGGCACAATAAACACTAGGCCTCAGAAAAATTGATCACAAATGATTTTAAATTTGTGATTTTTAAATCATTTTTCACAGTCAAATTAGATAAACAAAAGCCAACAGAAAATGACAACCTGACTCAACAAATCTACTCTGTACTGTTACTCAAGAAAAGCATCAGGTAAGGAATAAGCAAAGTGAAAAACCAGATTTCCTAAGTTACCTGTCTGACAAGATTTGGTTTGCATGTGAGGTTTACAGTAAGTAGCTTTTGTCATTGTTAAAGGTTTGCACAGAACTGCTTTGTTCTTCATCTCTTTGTTGGGAGTTGGAGAAGGGGGTGGTGCTGAACCCTGTAAGAAGAAAAAAACATTTTACTCTTGCTTATACTTTTCATTACTGTCTAGTGTTAATGAGCATCTATTTTCAAAGTTTTATGGAGAGAAGACACAAAAGTGGAAGAGTATAAACAAACTATGCTGTGTTTTTAGCTTCACTGCAGTGTCAGTCTGAGAGAAACAATGTGAATCTATGCTAATCACAGGAGAAGCAGTAAAACAAATTCCTTCATCAGTTGCTGTCACCTCCAATAGGGGTAGAATTCATACATATTTTTAAAAAGGTAACAAGAGAATTCTCTTTTAAATACAAAATCAAGGCTTAGAACTGAAATTTGGCTCTTTTAAATTCATTTAAAGAGAAGGTCTTACAGTTATTATGCTTGATGTTTTAGCTCCCTCTACTGGATAAGCATCTTAAAAATATGATACTAAACTTGAAAGGATAAACAATTAAAAGAATTATAGGCTATACTGCAAAACTTAACAAGTTACTTTCTGGGCACAGCAACTGCCATTTTAGAAACCTAAATCAATTACAATGTACTAACATTGTCAATATGACACAAATACAAATTTGAGTTACTTCACAGATAATCTAAATAATTTCTGGTGTTTTAATATCAGGTTTGCTGAGCTATTGTACTACAGAGAAATCAAGTCCTCATATAAATAAGATCTAAAAAGATAAAGATCCCAATCTTTTGGGATCTTTTGGGATCACTATCACCTATCGTTAAGAGAAAAAAGTAGGTACAGAACATAAGTGCAGTCAATCCTCATTATCTCGGGTAGCCATGTTCCGTACAGCTGCCCCAAGCACTGACCAGTAAGTATGAAACCACTGCTGCAGGGAGGAACACAGTTAAACACTGTGTTTCACTAACTGCTCAGTATAATCCCTTATTTAAAGACAGCTTAATATTCCTTTTAAACAACTATAAGCAGTACTCTCCTATAATATGACAGAATTTCAATCACGGCAACTTTGCTTCATGTACTTCTCTGAGACTATCAACTCTCAGTTGTAATTCACATAGTACAGATACAATCTTCCCATACTGCATGTATACACTGCATAGCATCACAGCACATATGCACTACAGTCACATACAGTAAGTAATCCTGAAACTGTACGCTACTGTATAGCAATTAACATAAAACACAATATTGCGAATATATACTTTATAGTAATAAAAATTAAGTTCTGGAAAAACATGTTACACAAAGATTAAGCATTTAAAGTTTCGTAAAGACACTAAAATGTTACAGTGGGTGAAGTTCCAGGATCTATGATGAGACAATTTAAATTTCTCACTTAGGCATATCCAATGAAAAGTACAGAAGTTCATGAAATTAGGTTTTGTGGCTTGTTGGCAGTGTTGAAAGATTTTAACCATTCTTAATATAAGGCACCTGCCCTGGACACCTAAATCTGAGGCTGTGCTCAAATACAGGTTCACATTTTCAACATTGTTGACAAATATTTCCCCAGACAGAATTCTAGATCAGCTTCACATTGCCAAAGCCTTTTCTATTCATTTGCTGTGTAATACATACTGCTTTATCTTTTTTTGTCTTTTTTGAGACGGAGTCTCACTATGCAGTTCAGGCTGGTCTTGAGCTCACTTTGTAGCCCAGGCTGGTCTCAAACTCGCAATGATCCTCCTACCTCAGACTCCCGAGTGCTGGGATCACAGGTGTGAGCCACCACACCTGGCTATGTTGCTTTATCTTAAACACTGTTCTTTACATTTTCTGTAACCTCTTTAAATTCTCTGAAATTTTTCAGTCTACACAACACTTCCCCAACAGTTAGTTAACAGTAAGCAACATCAATGGGCCATCATGGTGACCTTCTTGTGTTGGCATCATGTGTGTACCTGATTAAGGGGCTGGATGAGAGACACAGTATTTAAAGGTATGAAAAAAACTATAGGGGTGGACATTTTTAGTTCTTCAAAACAACAACACTTTGAAGGCAAAACTTTCAAAGCTCATCTTCTAGAATAAAATTGCTATGAAACTTATTTTAGACACTATCCATGCTTTTTTTGGTCAGCTTCCAACAAGAAGACATACAGCTCAGGTTTTTCTTTGTAAACTAGGAGTTAGCATATAAAATTTTCTTGGCATTAATGTACAATTTCAAGGCTACGCAAGCAATGATTTAAAGCTAGGGGTTTTGAGAACTATCTGTAGGTTGTTTTGCCAACAACCTTGAAAAATAAGCATGTATCATTAGCATTGAAAACTATGGGTCGAGGGGGCTTTTGCTGTATGATTTAGGTTGGCCTTAAACTCACTGTGTAACCCAGGCTGGCCTGCATTTGCGCAGATCCTCCTGCCTTAGTTTCCCTAGTGCTGGGATGACAGGAATGGGCTATCATGTCCGACTTCCTCCTCTTCACCTGTCCATATCATATCATCCTAAAATGTGAAAGTCAGCTAGCACTAGTTGAAAATTTATTAATTTCCTGGTTAATGTTCTGTGAGCTGAAAGCCTCAGTATGATAATGTTCTACATTTTTTTTAAGTAGGTCTTAATCCCATAATCCACAAATTTACTTAAACTCTTATAGCATTCCTGTACAGACTCGCAAATTTCCCTTTTCTCCAGTCATATTAATGATTCATTCATACCAATAGCATTTATACTTATGCCTGACTGATACTTTTCTAAACACTTACTTTCTCAATAAGGGACATCACATCTCTCCAGGACACTAGACAGCACTTCGCCACTATACTTAAAATAAAATCTTCAAAAGTAAATGCAAAATCTACAGTGCTCATTAAGTCATAAAACATACTTATTCATATTGAGAGCTGAAATAAGAAGGCACAGCATCACCCTCAACTACATCATTGGGAACAGACACTTTAGGTAACTCAAATTTTGTACCACTCTGCAAATCTCTGTCAAAGTAATATAGTTAGAAACAATGAAGCTGAGTGAGTCACTCCCTTTCCTCCATTTAACTCTACATAGCATCCAATGGTTATTTCTATCACCCTGAAGAGGTAGAAAATAAAGTAACAAAAGCCTAGAACAGTGGTAGTGCATCTACGACACCTATGGCAGGCTGTTTGTACCACTGAAAACTCCGTAAGATTCCCACATCACTAATAGGGCATCTCCAACGATCTAGCCAAGAGTACAGGCAATGTTGGGGACCATAAATTAAAACTGACTGGCCCTTGTCTTGTGGGCTGGGTTTTAAAATGCAGAAATCCCATGTCCTCTTGGTTAATGAGGTTCACAGAGCAGGATAAAGTCTCACAAGTACAATATAGGGAAACTAACACCCAGGTGTGGGGATGAATGTTAACTGTTTCCTTTATGTTGTTAAACTTGCCCGTTCAACCACTTCTATGCTGTTCCAGGAAAAGCACCGCACCCCTTTCCCTGCACTGGCTAAATAAAATGGTGGCTAGCCAGAGATTCTGGGTCTTCATCTACAGAAGACATGGATCATCTCAGAGACCTGCTACACCCTGCTATTTTGTCTCTTGCTCTTTGCTCCCATCATGTGTCTTAACTCCAGGCAGGAGACTGGGGCCCACTGCAGGGGTGGCACCATGGGCAGTTTAGTGACAGGCACCTAAAGCAAAGTCTCTGGTCTTTAAATTCTGAAAGTTTGAGTTACTGGCCCCTTTTGCTGGAGCTACCACTGACCTGTGTGCAGTGCTTTTCTGCTTCCCTGGTAACTTTCCTGGTGTATGACTCTATCTGCATGGACTGGCCCTAAGTACAAGTCCCATGATCTTCAGTAATTGCCGGTGCTTACTACTTATTACTGGATACATACGTGGCAGTACTTTCCCTATCATACACAAGAACCTGGACTATCATTGGCCCAATCAATTGTAACAAAAGTGCTATAAATATTTATTTAATATTGTAAATAATTTTGGTAAGTAGGTAAATTCAAATACAGAATCCATGTATAATGAAGATTGACTGTACTTATAAATTTATATCAGCTTTTTTTATAGTCCTAGAGGCTTAAATCCAGGCCCTTGTGCATGCTAGGCAAGCACATTATGACTGAGGTACAATCCCAGCCCCTTCTGTGATTTTTTGAAGGTCTGCAAAAATAACACAGAAGTCCTGTATTAGCTGGGTGTAGTGGTGAAAGCACATAATCCCAGCCCTCAGAAGGCTGAGGCAGGAGGGGGAGGCTGAAGCAGGAGGCTCCTTGTTAGTTCAAGTCCCATTTGTACTACATTGTGAGTTCAAAGGTAGCCTAAACCACACAGTGAGACACACACACAGACAAAACTTCTATACTTACGTAGTAGCTCATAAGTTACAGTAATATACACATTTTCTTCAACTCTGAGAGAACGAGAAAGGGAGACAGAGACAGAAATACTAACCCTAACCCTAACCTGAGCTTGGTTCTAATGTTTCTGCTGTCAGGTCAGACAAGTCAACCTCCTAAACCTAGGAAACAATATTCACTAAACACTCAGTACTGGATTAATCTGATGTGACCTATAAAATACTCTGGTATCCCAGACTCAGTAATGGGCAAGTTCACAATCATAAACGTCCTGAGATGGCTCAGTTTTGTTGCCTTTGCCACTCTGAAAATTACTATTTCCTGTCTACTAATTATGTCAATTGTTGGAAACCTGCCCTTGACTCCAATCTTTCAGTTTTAGAATGTTTTTTAGTTTTCTTTTAGTCAACAGATAGGATTTATAGCTATTTATGTTGAAACTGAAGAACCCCAACTAATGAAAACTACAACAACAAAAGTTAACATTGTTGAAAACTTGCTTCTGTGCTAGAAACTGTGTAAAACACCAAATGTGTCCTTTTATCTCTTCTGTTTTCCACAAGACACTGAGGCCAGAATGCTCTATCACCTGGCAAAGATAACAGATCTGAGAATTCTGAAGTTGGAATTCAGAAAGATTCACCCAATGCCAAAGCCTATCTTATTAACAATCACAGTGTCTCCACATTATCACGCATTAGTAATGACCTACAGTGACAAACCTAAGATGGGCAACGTTTCATCCTGGTTCTACCAGGAAACAAACTCACACAAAGAATAATGAAATACTGTGCTCAAAATTATCCAGCTAAGTTCTCATCTCCTGAAGTTTATGGATTGAGAGTTTAAAAATGCCAAAAACTTACAAAGAAAATATGTAAGAGGGCTTTGTAGGACAAAAGCAATGGTCACAATACATTCTAACTTTCCTTGCCAAGTAGTAATATAACTTCATCACTATGTCAGTCATATACTATGGTTGAAATGCTGTGGAAAGACAGCAACAATGTATCAGGAGAGTTTTTTGAAACCTTAGTCAAAGCAATGTTATCTTTGTTTAATTTTGAAATTTATTTTAAATTTTTTTCTCTTCTCCTTTCTGCTGGGGGTATCAACTACCTTTTTCCAGAGACCAGGACAACAGAATAGTACAAGCCTTTGTGTGTCTCACTACTGGTAAATCCCAAAGTCAAAAGGGCAACCGTCACTGTTGGGTCTGTTTAACAAGTGATACATCAAGCACAAGGTGGGCTTCAATACAACTCTTCTGCCTCCTCAGTAGACAGCTGCCTATACTCACATAAACACACATTTGATAGTTTGGGATGTTGCTGTGTTTCTTATACCACCATGGATGAAAGAATGTTTTTCCTAGCATTCATTCCACAGTATATGATATTACTAACTGAAAATCACATTTAAGAGACAGTTTCTAGCAAGGAGTGAATGAAATCCTAGCATTTCAGATGACACCAGGTTTTGGGGTGCCAGAGTTTCCTTCTAGAGGTGTTTTCTAAGTTCCTTCTGTCCTAAGTAAAGAACTGATCAAGACAAATGCAAATGGTAGCAGGGTTTCATGTTTATTAAAGGTAGGAAAAGAAATATGCTCTTCAGAGCAAGTTGGGGCTGAGCAAGTAGGAAAAGTGAGGGTAAGAGTAGATCATTGTGGAAAACAGAACAAAAGCCACACACATTTGTAACAAGGCTGGAAGGTTATTACTGTGTCGCTTCATTGGTAGAATAAAGATAACAAAACAGGGAACAATCATCTTTATACTCCACATTTCCCCTTATATTTTAACTCATCTTTAGCTACCTGATAATACCTCCTACAGTATAAATAGCTTGCTATACTTTCTCATAGGGAATAATGACAAGGAAAAAGAAACCAAAGACTTCTCTACACATTCAGTGTAACACTGATAATAAGACTAACCGCACAGTACAAGACACCAGGCAAACAATGCAGGAGTGTTGGGGAGACCGAAGCTATGTGAAGTAATAAGAAATTAAAGCATGGTGTGGCCACAACACTGTTTCGTTTCACTCATGTCAGAGTGTAACAAATTTCAAATTTTATTTTTTGGAATCTTCTGGAAAATTATTTCCAGAAGAAGTGGCTATTTTCTAGGATTGCTAGAATTTGCAATCCTAGTTTGGTTGAATCTGCAAATGGGGAGCCCAAAGATACAGAGGGTAAACATATCAATGACCCACATCATGGGTTACATATAATATTAAATGAAGCACTTTTCTAAAATAGGAACTTCTGGGTCAGAATTAAGACAATGAAAGATTCTGAAAACTTGTGTCAGCTAAGTGACAGGAGCTAAAACCTAACCTGTAGTTTCTCACCACAAGAACTAACCGAGAGACGTATTGTAACGCTAATAAATGGCTCTATTAGGGCTTTCCTTGAATAAGGAAGCCTAAAATTCCAGTAGAATACCATCTAGCAATTCTTGTAGAAACAGCTTACACAGGCAGGCAGGGCCTCATTTCTCTTTTAAGGCGTGATAAAAGCACTGCTTCCACCTTTTGTAGCCACTACCAATAAATAGCCACTTCTAACCTATAAAGTCTTAAAATGCTAACAGAAAAACACGATATAAAGAATTACACCAAAAAAAAAAAGGGGGTAAAAAAATAAACACAATGAATATTACTAAAATGGAAATACTCATAGGTCCCTGTAACCAACATAGATCTTCAGATCTCTATTTGTAAAATAATGGAGCCAGCTAATCTATCAGCCTCACATAATTACAGCAAAGATCCCCTTCAAGCTCGACCTTAATGTGTAGCTCTGCCAAATATTTTTTACATTATTAATCATGCTTGTCATTCTTATCTACCTGGCAACTTTCTACTCAACTGCTTACACTTAGCTTGTTACATTCTTTGGGAACAGATATAATCAATCATTTTTAAATGTATTTTTGCTACTGTTACAGAGATGTATTTATTATGGAAACTTCAAATCAAATACCATTTCTCTGGAATGTGGAGAAGCTATAATTAATTCATCTTATATACCTTAGCATGTTTCTCTAGTACTAACAATTCAGCTAAATGTTAGACTGTCACAAAAAAGTAAAAATATTTTATTATCATCAAACTAAACTGGCCTAATTATTTTACCACACACTATAAAATGACAATTTAGCAGTTTACTTAATCAATACTTACCGTCATTTTGGTTCGGGATGTTTGACAGCCCTGATCTAAAAAACAAACAAATTTAAAGATAGATTTCATCAGAATTTTCTAACCCTTACTTCACACACCATATTTGACTGACTTTGAAAGAAGTTGTTGAAGAAAACATTTCACATTATTTTAAAAAAGAACCATAAGTTAGAATTGAAAGTATAGAAAAACAAGAGTTCAATTTATAAAATTATCTGCTTTCTCATTTTGCCCCTCTAGACATATTGCTTTGGAAAAAATACTATGCACTTAGGCTTATCTCTTAAATAAAGCAAAATGCCACAGCATCTAGAGATTCTGTTATGCAATCCAGTCAAGAATTTACAATTTGCTAAATGTGGTTTTCATTAAAAATTACAGATCTCACATGGTAAATAAATTATTCTTTTTACATTTTTGTTGTAATTCTACTTAGCTTCCCTCTAGCCCAAAGAGCATTAAATTTTTTAAGGAATAAAATAAATGCAATGTATCTACAGAAACATCATATATCTCTCATCTGGAAAAACTTATGAAATTTAAGTTGGTATTAAACTATTTCCAAAATTAACGTTTTCCAAATGTTTCATAAGTCATTACGTACCATAATGTAAGTTTTCAGGTCCTTTCTGAGTTGTCAGATTGGGCTCATTTTGCTGACAGTAGAAACGTAACAAGCAGTGCTGATCACAGAAATGTTTCATCTCCCCACGCCACTGTACTCGCTCTTTAAGAGTTCCTTGAGACTTACAACAATCACACCTTGCAGCCTTAACCAAAAAAAGGGGGAAGAGGGGCTTCAGGCATTTAAAACCAGATTTAAAATATCACACATGTGTAAGCGTTCTTAAAGATTTCTAAAAGTGTTACCACTGGTAACTGTAAAATGTGGTAACATTAATAAAACGAGTCATATATAAACAGTAAAATCAATAACAAAGTAGAATAAAAATCAGAGTAATTTTTCTAACTGACAAAGTATATTTATCAGAAGTTGAAGACTAGAGTTACAAAGATAGGATAATAAAATAAACATTAGTAGATCAAAATGATACAAAGGACACTATTTCTAAGTAGATTTGAGGGTCCTGATAATACAATGACATAAATTTCCTATGTTTACAAAGTTACTAATCTTTGTATACAAATAAGTAAACAAATATAGTAAATAAAATGGGGTTGCAAAATCTGTCATTAATTATGTTTACTATTCATAAGTGCCTGCCTGGCAAGCTCAAGGTCTTGAATTCAATCTCTGGTACAAAAAAAAAAAAAAAACTTTACTATTCAGAAACAAGTTCTCAAAAATAAAACCTCCTCTCCATAGCACTGCCAAACCACCACCACAGAAAAATCAACCAAATAAATAAAACTTCCTGACCTAAATATGTAACTCAGTGGTACAGCACTTGCTTATTAGCATGTACAAGGACCTGAATTTAATTCTCAATATTGCTAAATACACAAATACTTCTTAAAAGGAGAAGGTTCCGGGGCCAGAAGTATAGTTCAGAGGCACGGCACATATATGGCAAGCTCTAGGTCCTGAGTTCAATTCCTAGTGCCACCCCCCCCCAAAATCAATCAATTAGACAAAAAAAAAGAGAGAGAGAGAGATCAACCAAAAAGTGAAGGTTCCCTTTGTGTGTGTTGAACTAAAATCAAGCATTTAAAACTATCAACTACATTTTCTGAGTCATTTTCTCTCAAAAACAGCCTGTAACAGAACATAAAACTCATTTACACTAATGAATCCATATGAACATGTGTTAATATGCTCACGCTCTGTGCACTCCTACAATCTGGATCTTAAAAATGTATTTTCAGAAGCAAAAGCAAAATAATGAAGACACTTTTCATCCCAAAATGCTCACCGCAATTGTTTTACCAACCTTTGCTAAGTAGCAAAGTTATCTCCCTCCTTTTATTTACAAAATACAAGTTTAAAATGCAGATACATAAAATCACACCAAGAATTCCCACAATTCTCCCAGTATTATTTTTAACACCTTCAAAATGTGATCTACACAGTATTTCAACTATTTTACTCATTGTTTCTAAAGAGGTCTTTTACAATTTTGAAGTATTTGTCTTAACGTGCTTCAGAACTGTATCCATAATTAAGCTTTAACACTGAGATGATTTCCTGTATTATCAATACATGATTTAATAATATTCTATTTGATGTATAACCATCCAAAGTCCAAATTTATACTACACTACCCATACACACAACAGGTCAAATGGGAGTTATTTTAACCTTTAAGAAATAGTTTTTGGGGCTAAGGCATTAGCTGCTCAGCAGTCAAGTGCTTGCTTGGTAAGTGTGAGTTTGTGAGTTTGATCCCTGGTACAAAAAAAAGACAGAAAGAAAAAAAATAGTTTTTGATAAGATGCATTTTTTCACTCCTTCAAATTAAAGTTATGATCCCGTGTGTCTTTTCAATATGGAAGTCTCTGATAATTCGTTAAGTTAAAGTTTTAAAAACATATGAATTATTCAAAACTACTGTTCAATAATGGAATCATCAAAAATATTTGTATCTACTTAAGTAAAATGGAACAAATTTGATAGAAATAATGCATTTTGTTAAACTGTGTCAATGAAACTACAAGTACAGTCTAAGAGACTGTACATGCCTAATCTATAAAGAAAAAAAAAACAGTAAAAATTCAACCTCAAGTTTCAGAGAACTAAAATGCAAAATACTTTTAATAAACACTATGATCTGGGATAGGTTTCAAGTGTGTACATTTAAAAAATAAGTAAGTTATACACTTCTTATAAAGTTTTTAAAAAGACTTCTTAAGGTCACTGCTGTAATCAAAATCTGGAGAAACTTGCCTTATAGTACCAATCCTGAAATTTTTTGCAGCAGTCTTCACTGCAGAAATCTCTCACAACACCATCAAGTTCCTTAGTTGCTCCCTTCTTACACAGCTGAGAACAATAGTTGCATGTAACACATCTTAATCCTAAACGTCTGGCAAAATCCTGTTTGTACAATAGTTTGCAACCTGGAAAATACAAGGTTTAAATGTTAAACAGATTTTTTAAAAATTGTGAGCTAAGATAGTATGTAAATTTAACAGATTATTAGTTTTAGAAAGTGAGGAAGTTACATAAAAAGTTCTCTTTCTTTCTTGATCAAAACTAAATCTACTGTAGATCAGCACTAACCTATAAAAACTGATACAGAATACGAACCTACCATATAGAAAATACCTTATCACATGTGTGGGTCCAAATAATGCTTTAAGAGACATTGACAGCGAATGGGGATATAGCTCAGTGGTACTGCACCTGCCTGGCATGTGTGAGGCCCCGAGTTTGATTTCTGGTAATACACCTTCCCCACAAAAATAAATAAAAGACTGTGAAACCTAGTACTATCTCAGAATGATGGCATTCCATCTGCTCTGTTTAAATAGTATTTTAATTATCTAAGTACGTCACTAATAAGGACTAGTCTGATTGAGATAGGGTTGCTCTACGCAATTCAGCCTGCCTTGAACCTGAAGTGATCCTTCTCCTGCCTCAGCCTCTGGAGTGCTGGGATTACAGGCATGTGCCACCACCCTCAGCTAATAAGGATTTTAATAGATATGAATACTGCCAACTGACAGGCTCTGAGTAAATTCACAGATCTGTTCAGCTCAGTAGGTATTTTAGCCAAATTTTGTAGCTTATCTCTCTCTGTGTCACCCTATGTGGCTCCTTTTTGGAAGTAAAAGTGGTTTACAGACTTGTCCAGTGAAAATACTGTCTATTCACTTAACGACAAAATACTTCTTTTCAAATATAAAGTGTTTTTACCAACCAAATACATTCTCCATAATGTCTCTGGAGATTTAAACAATCTTCCCTACTTTTACTTATGTCATACCTTCCAAGTAGAATGACCTACCTTCTCCTCAGATCAAACTACTGAAATTTTATCCATTCCTTAGTACTAAGTCCAAATTGTATCTACCTCTACCACTGACTCCATCTGTATAACCTAGTTTTAAGTTATCTTTCCTATATGTAAACATGAACTGCAATTGTATTGTGCTGTTGACTTTGCCATCTTTAACTATACTTAAAATTTTTTCAGCGATTTTACCTTTATTAACTTTAACTAGATTTGATAGTGATACTACGTATATGTTATTTCTTTTGTAGTTGTTGTTTTGCTTTGTTATTTCTGATAAGTTCCAATAAAAAAAATTAGGTGGAGAAAAGCAAAATATATGTTGTCAGGTAAAAAATATACAGCCTTTTAAGCTTTTTATGATTATTATTTTTAGTTTACTTTTTTTTTTTTTTTTTTTTTTTGAGACAGGGTCTCATTATACAGTTCAAGCTGGCTTTCAGCTCATTTTGTACCCAGGCTGGTGTTAAACTTGCAATGATCCTCCTGCCTCAGCCTACCGTGTACTGGGATTACAGAAGCTTTTTATTATTCATCTAAATGTTTAAGATCTTCTAGCTGAAAATGATATTAAGTGTCAATTTTCTATTTGCTGCTCTACATTTATGTTAGCAAAATTTACAGAGGTAAGTATTTCACATCACTGACATATGTACAATTACATCAATGCCTTTGTACTGAAAGGTAGTAAGACTCTGAAATCAAGAAGACTGTTTCTGTATAAAAACTCAGGTGTAAAAAGACTGATTTAGAATTATTCTAACATTTTAGTATTTATTATTTTCATAATAGCTTTGTTCTCAACAGTGAATCAATGTTTAACTATTATTACTAGTGAAATGTATTATTTAATCTAACTAGGAAAACCATGTTTAATAACATATACTTTTTTACATACAGAATAGTATTACATGATAATGGGTAAAAGATATAAACAGAGATGCTACTGAATGGACTGAGAAATATTTTAGTTTTATTGTCATTTCCTACTGCCAGCATTTAGGATTTCCCAACTGTCTCTTTTCCCAAACTAACAGGAGAAATCCTTAGAAAAACGCAGACCCAAGTGAGGGGGTGGGGGGAAACATTGGAAAATAAATTAAGAGAGCAGGTAAAAAGAAAACTGAGAGCACCAGGACACAGGCCAAAAACCAGAATGTGAAAGTCAGCGCAGACTAACAATGTGACACTGATTGGGAAATACTAACAATGATAAGAGCTCCGAAATCATATAAGCTATAATTTTGGCTGCAAACTAGATGTAGCTTTAGAACTAGTGTCCATGTCTATAATCTGCTGTGTGGCAGCAGAGCAGCACAAAGCATGAATGAGGAAAAGGGAAATTCTTGGATTTCTTCCTTAGAACGCAGCCCAGTGTTTTCAGACATATCACACATACAACCTAAATTTTCCAGTGTAGGACTGTTACTATCTGTGTTTGGGACCAGAAGAATTTCAGGTTTTTGGAATAGTCAAATAGACTAATTACTGACTGAACTCCCCTTATCTGAAAAAATCAAAATCAGAAACACTTAAAAATGTTAGCACTCAAAATTTCAGGTTTCACATTTTCAGACTAGGGAGGTTTAATCTAAATACTGAAAACCTTTGCAGGATAGGTAGTAATCAGACAGGGAAAAAGAGGCTAATGTAAAAAAATTCTAACTGACTTGAAAAACCTATATTCGAGTCACAATGTAACATTAATGGTATAATGAAACTTTTATTTTCAAAACTTCCTTATAATGGAAAAACTTGTTATTAAATTCTTAAAGATAAAACTTTTGAGGTCCAGACGTCTACAAATACATATAAAATAACAAAGCAAGTCAGTAGAAAAGTGAACTCAATATTGGTCAGCTACATTAAAAATTGTGCAGCTACTCATATTTTCAAAGTATTTTGGCAAAACACATTAAATATCAATAAAAGTTATGAACACAAGTATATACACTTGCCTTCACTACAGAAAGGTCTCTTAACGCCAGAGAAATTTACTGTTTCATGAAGAGTCTTCTCCTCTTGACAGTATTCGCAATATGTAACTATGCAATGCAGCTTCTTATAGTCATCTGAACAAGTTTTGCTGCAGAACTGATGCACTTTGTTCTAAATGCACAATGGGAACCTTGGTAAGTATTTGACAACCACCTTAAGAACAAGTTTAAGAAGTAAACAAGCCACTTTTATAAACACAGATTAAATCATTTCTCTATTTAATTATCAGGATCATGGGGGATACTTTTGCTATAAGACACCTAATTTAACCAGTTCACTGCTAAGTTTTACAAACATGGTTCCACATCATTCAACAACCAATAACCACTCTAAAATTACTCAGTGAAGAGTGAAAATATCACTAAAATAAGAAGGTAGTCTGACAATGCTAATAAAATTGGAGAAATGGCAAAGAAACAATGGAAGATATCATATGTATAAACTACAGAAAGACAAGGATTATGACACTCATATCATTTTCAGTTAAAAATTGTTGAGTGGTGGCAAGTAGATTCAATCACCTTTCTAGCACATCCTAATTGTGTAGTAAAAGATCTATCTTAGCTAGATATTAACTTTAGTGCTATCACACTGTGTGATTAGAAACTTAAGACTGAGTTGTATCCCTTAAAGGGAACGTATTTAGTATTTTTTTGGTCCAGAACTACTTTCCAAATATTTAGCCATGCAGTTACCAACAATGTAAACCTTCTAAGTTAGCTCTTCTTCCTTGACACTGAAGAAAAATACAGACTGAGTTTAAATCATTTGCCTCATGCTTAACAAAGATATGAAGATCAAAATAAGGTTCGAATGAAAGAGTCTAGTAATCAACTCGGCAGTTAAGGCAATCATCAGCTGAAATTGTCCCAATGAGTATATAACTTACAAGAGGGAAAAAGGGCAACAAAGAAACTGCCATCCATAGAGTAACAAAACGGCCCTGAACTATCATTTTCCTGAAGTTCAAGAAAGTTCAACTCACCTAACAGTCTAATTGTTTAATACAGTTAACCACCACTTAGCAATACAATGACTGCAAAAGTTCAGTAACACTGACTCTGACATGTGGAAAGAACTTTATTAAAATTCAGTTTGTACAGTTACTTCTTAGGTAGTATTATTCTATATGCTTTGTAATGGACTGTCTTTGAGACAGGGTCTCACTATGCAGTTCAGGGTGCCCTGAGGCTCACTTTGTAGCCCAGGCTAGTCTCAAACTTGCAACAATCCTCCCCACTCAGCCAAGAGCTGGCATTACAGGCTTGCACCACCACGCCAGGCTCTTTATTCCATTTTTAGGTCCTTATTCACTATTCTTTGGCAATCATCTTTACTGTCATTTAAAGAAAATATTAAGTTAGCAAAACTCATCCCTGAATACCAACAAGAGTCTTAGACAAACACATTTAAATGCTCTAGAGATAGCACCAAATAAAATAATAAACTAAAATACTTTCCTGCCATTAAGATAACAAAATTTCAGATTTCTAAGTATTTTAGAAATCATGTGGTTCACTTTCAGGGAAGCACTTGTCCTCTAGGACCCAGATACTGATTGAAGTGCCAACAGTTACCAATAAAATTTTGCTTAAGAGCAGCCTGTTACTTCTAACAGGCTGTGCACCATTTTATCATACCTCCCATACCATCCTGCCTTCAAAAAAGTGCAAAGAAAGAATGACTAAAGATGAACACCTCAAGAAAACAACGACAGCAGGGCCACCTTCTCTACCTATCCATCCATTGCCACCCCTCCCTTACGGAAACCGAAGGACATGGTTCAGACTTGCTAAGACTACAAAATACATGGGAAAGTAAATTAGTAATCTAGTAAAGGTAAGAAAATAAACCTAATATATTAGGATTCATAGCCCTCTATTCCAGGGATTGAACTCACGACCTCACGCTTGGAAGGCAGGCGCTTATGCCGATGAGCTAAATCCTTGGCATCCCTCTTTTCTTTTACTAAAACAAAACTATAAAATGTTAAAAAAAAAAAAAAAAAGAAGAAGAAGAAGAAGAAGAAAGACAGAAAACAGAACCATGTGGCATATGACTAACAAATTCTAATTTTTACAGGAGTAAATGACACAAAGATATTATAGGACACATATCTATGAAGACAGAGAAAAATGGAAAACAATGTACAGTCACTTCAGGTATGTAGCTAAACAAAATTACATTGTGTACTCTATTAGGAATGTAACGTATTATAGTGACTGTGACTTGAAGAATTTCTTGTCAACCTCAAAAGAAACAGACTCTGATCTAATCTCCCGTAAGTCAGTCAACTTTAAAACCTTAAGAATTCTTTCTTCCTTACTAAAAAATAGGTTTCCAGATGGAACTACAAGTTCTTTTAAAACCAGATTTTCATTTTAGTACTAGATAATAAGAAAAACGACTTGCCTCCCATTCCAGGATTTCTGGTTTTGAACAAAAGGAATTTTTGCAGTAGTTGCATTTCAACTGAATATCACTTGGTGCTACAAATGGACCATTTGGAGATGACTGCATGCTTAGAGCCTAAAATAAAGAACAAAATATACTGAGCCTGACAGTACTGTAGAATTTTTAGTTGTAAACGCTCTAAAATTGTCCCTATGTACAGAAACTAGTACACATCTTCATTAATACTTTTTCCAACACAATTTTATCTCTAAAAATAATATTAATATGCTTTTAGTTTTATAAGATTAAGTATATTTTGTTGCATTAGTCAAAGGATTATTATTCCACTAAAATAAATATGGAAAAGGAAAAAATACAGAATGTTTTTTTCCACTAGAAAATGTAATTCAATAATGGTGAGATTAGTTGCCAAAATTCTGAATTAGCCAAAAAAAAAAAAAAAAGACAGAAAACATAAAATCTAGGTTCTACTGCTCCTCCAATAACTATCAAGTATCCAACTAATGGTTTGTTTCACTGTATCACTGCTATAATTTTCATGTGAAGTTCATCAGTGAAAACAGCTTATCACTTTTAAGAATTAATTTCTTCAAGGTTAGAAAAAAAACTTACAGATAAATATTCATACCAAGAATTTGTTGATTTTTATTACATTTTTTAAAAGTTAAAATAATTTATAGAGTAAGACAGGATATAACCATAATTGGATCTTAAAAGGTTTTTTCCCTAATTCTTAATACAAATGGTGAGTACAATGGTATTTTTCATTCTTTTGAACCACAAACACATTAAACATACATGTTAAGTATAACCTTCTGAATTTATGAATTAGCTAATAAAAGTAAATTATTGAGGTTTGGTGAAAGAAGAAAGGAATCTTTATTATTTTTTAATTATCCATATATGCCATACAACACAACATTCATATTATCAGATGAATTATTTTTAAACATAAAAACACTGCCCTTAGAGTTTTCAAAATATTAACCCAGATTAAAAGTTCACTATTTTTTTTTCCACAATAATGGACTATGTTTTGGTCTGAATGTGTATCCCAAAATTTGCTACACTGAAATCCTAACCCCCAAGGTGCTGCATATTTAAAGACAGGGTCTTTGGGCCACCTTCCAGATCTATTTAGTACCTTTATAAAAGGTCCTCACTGAGGAATAAGGCTGCTGGAAGCTCCTATCCTGGACTACGAAGAATATAAATTTCTGTTGTTTTAGAAGGCAAACCTGCCTTCTAAGTTTACTTCTTTAAAACATTCTAAAAAACATTCTAAAGTATTTTGTGGCAGCAGCTGAAACAGACTAAGAATAAAATCTTACCATCTTACTTTTAAAATAAAAAGTAAAAAAAAAACAAAAGCTAATATTCATATTATCAGATGAATTATTTTTAAACATAAAAACATTGCCCTTAGAGTTTTCAAAATATTAACCCAGATTAAAAGTTCACTATTTTTTTTTCACAATAATGGACTATGTTCAAAATATATGATCTGCTTTAAAATAAAAAAATTGTGGCCTGATGGGTCAATTTGGTTTCATATGCAGGCAGGGACAATGCTGCCCGCAGGTGTATCTGGATGGATTCCTCAAAAATCAAGAGCCTAAATTCAGTAGTATTTCTTTAAAATATACAATTCAGGCAGGGGCCCATCAAATAAAGAGCACTACCAATTTCAATAATTACCAGTTCAGTACCTAACAAAATCAAAAAGAAATAAAGATAATTTAACATCTGGCAAGGAGCATATCATCAACACTGTCTTCCTCTCTTAAAACTATCTTTATCTCTTAACTTCTAGTTTAAGAAAATCCAATGAGGCAGAAACAACATTTACCAGTAAAAATGTATCCATGGTTGGCTATGATCTCAACTTCTAAAATAAAAATTTAGTCTTGCACATGCGGTTTACCTTCTAAATTCAGTGAGGCAATAACTTAAAAACAACACTTGCTTGCCTAAATTCAAAACAACCTAAATTTAAATGCCATAACTGTTGCAATAACTACTGTATCATACTTAAGAAACTATATTTTCAGTTTAAATAAATTAACATAAGGCACAGTACCTGGAACAAAGTAGAAGCACAGTACCTGGATGAATTAACTCATGAAGCATGGCTTTATGCACACTTGGTTTGAATCTTTGGGCAATACCCTGAAATTTTCACACACAACAGGTAAACCTACTATTACTACCTAACTAATGCTTGAATCCCCTCTAAACTACTCCTTCCTAGTGGTCAACTAGGTTATATTTGAACACTCCAGTAACACTATCTTTTGAGAGTATCTACACTTCAACTTTGAAGAAGTATGTTAGAAAAGTGCATTACATTTAACAAAATGAAAAACGTTTCCCTAAAATTAATCCTATATTTAGTAAAAGCCTACTATAAGCTTCATCCCCTTTCTTACTGGCTCATTTCTAAGTTTACTCAGGATTTCCAAGCTAAATTTATTTCATTTATTATTCATAAAGAAGAGTTTCCTTTCAGATTCAGATTTTACTCCATATACTAGGAAAATACTACGTATCAAGCAATGATTTCAACTATATTAAACTATATTATGTATTTTCTCTCACAACTGTATCATGAAAACAAACGCCAACTGTATAATCTGTGCTAACATAGAGAAGTGAAGAGGTCTTCTGTGACTCACTCTAGGTCTCCACCCTCCAATGTGACCTTCCATTAAACTATGCACAAAATTAATAGATTTGACAAAGATCAAGCATATTCCACTGGGAATGAGGATTACACAAAATAAACAACAAACCTGAAACTTAGCAACACAACTGGAATTGCAAAAATTATACAGTTTTCCATCAGGCATTGTGGCTTGGTACTGAGGTAAAGAGTTTCGCTTACAAAAATGGCAAATGATTCCCAAACCTAGGAGAGAAAAGGTATATATCTGATTTCATATAAGTAACGAAAGTTGTTTTGTAAAATCTTGACTGTTGAGCTTTTTTAAAATGAAACTTTCTATAAACTCGTTCACTACCTGTGCTTCTAAATAGTCAAGAAGATACTTATAAAACACACTGCTGCTGAGAATCCCAGCACTTGGGAGGATGAAGTAGGGGCTTACACATAAGTTGGAGATCAAACCTGGGCAATATGTCAAGACCCTGTCTCAAAAACAAAACAAAAGCCAAGCTGAGGATGCAGCATGAGCATAAAGGCCCTGGGTCCAGTCTACAGTAAAGGTTAAAAAAAAAAAAAAGGTAACACAAAAAACAACTCAAGTGCTTTGTCACTAAAATATGTGTGGATACATGAAAAACTGTTTTAGGTAAAATTCTGAATGGACCAATTTTAAGTAAGAACATACATGGAGAGAACATCAATAACTTAAAATCAGAGTGACGATTTCTGAAATATCTATGTTATTAAGATTTTTTAACTGTCCAAATATCTGAAACTTACTTTGTGATTTTGCATATTTTGTCTTGTGACTATTCATGCAAGCAGTTGAACAATATGGCTCCATATATCCATTGGGACCTATACACTGAGTCATATCAAAAAACCTGCACTGTGTTCGGCAGCCAGTACAAGTTGTCAGTTTCCCATATTTCTAAAATTTGAAACATAAAGATAATTAACAAAATCATAATTGAGTTAGAAAATACCCATTTTTATTATCTTTTGTTTCTGCAAAACAATTCTGTTAATCTCTAATCAGTTTTAGAGTCAGAAATCTTCATCTATACATAAACTATTAGTTGCAACATCTGCTAAATTAACGTCAAGTTACACCATACGCTAATTTTTCAAAAATGTTTTTCTCTATTAAATAACAGAATACCTACATATATGTTAAGTAGAAACTAAAAATCTAAGAAAGGCACAATGTTGTTTCACTTACAGTGAGGACATATTTCTTTGTCTTTTGATGGAAGAAATTAAATGGAGTATGAAATATAAGCCTGAAACCCGGAATGGTGGCCCACGCATGTAATTCCAGCACCCAGGACTGCTGTGAGTCCAAGGCCAGCCTGGGCTGCACAGTATGAGTTCAAGCCCAGCCTGAACTGCATAGTGCTATCCTGTCTCAAAATTTTTTTAAAAATAAAAAGCCTTAATAATCAAAAGTATACTGAATAAGGAGTCTGAAGATTTCTAACACTTCTTCCATTGAGCTGCTATGGTTCAAAAACATTTTTAGACTTCTGTTTAAAACAACAATTTACTATTCTACAACATTTGAAAACCTTATGCAATCACAATAAATTACCGAAGTTTTAAAATAAAATGACTTCTGATTATTACCTAAAAGTTAGTGATTAGTAGACTATAGTACAAATTAGTAATTATAATAAATGTTCCTGCAATGGGGTGAATATTTGCCAACAGGAAGGTACCTTAAGAAAGTGAGATAAAGATTACACAATTAACAACAAAAGGGGTACTTGAACAAGTTATTAGGAAAAAAGCATTACCACTGAAATAGTCTTACAAAAACACAATTCAGATGAACTGCTTGCTGTGCTTCTATAAAAAATTAACTTCATAATCACAATCAGAAATCAAAACATGAGACTTCTTTAAGAACAATTTATATTTGACCCCTCTCTGAATAGTTACAGATGTCAGCCACGTTCCACCTAATAGTGATGTTCTTAATTCCACCTTCATGAACAAGAGCATCAGGTGCAACATGAGAATGTAAGAAGACCCAAACATATTCCATGGATGCATGGTGAGCAACAAGACACCACACACCTGTGCATGGGAACCTGTGGCACACGTGGCACAGTGGGCAGGCAGAGCCCTCTTCAGCATGGAGGCACATCACCCCAGCAGCCGAGCACTGGCTAACAATTGCCTTTTCTGAACTAAAACCTCAAGATTCAGGTTTAATTTTGATGCTGACACTCTGCAATAAGTAAGTGGGTTTTGGGTTACAGGTTGGGCACTCAGTCTCTAAAAGGTTTGCCACCACTGCCATAGAGTAGCCCAAAAATAAACACATGAAACAGACAAACTACACAGAAAAATTTCACAGATAGTATGAGGTTTCACTAAATGAACACAGTAAATTAAAGGTTAGAAAACATAACAACGAATAGGGAAAGGAGTATTATAGCTCAGTAGTAGAACATATAGCACCAAAATCAAGAAATAATAAAACCAAACCAAAAAATCCACAAGTAACAATCCATCAACATCAAAAGTAGAAAATATTTTCTCATCATAGAACAAACAGAACAGTTACGAGAAAAGACAGCTGTTTATGTGCCAGGAGTATATGACAATCATGCTGGTACAGTAAGACAATCACCCACATTGTTTTTTCCTCATTTGCTTCACAAAAGATGAATAAACTACTTTCAAAGGTGGCAATCAATTATCTGATAAGTCTCAAAAGCAAATACTTATCAAGAGACAGCAAAGGAATGGTGACTACAAACAGTCAAGAATGGCTGTAAATGTATTGTATCTATGAGATCTGATTTTAAAAAATAGTATGCTTGGGGGCTGGGGAAAAGCTCAGCGGCATAAGCACCTGCCTTGCAAGCAGGCAGTCATTGAGTTCAATTCCCGGTACCGATAAAAAGGAAAAAGACAAAAAAAATAGTATGTTTATTACAGTGAACTAATCCACGTCAAAATATTCTCACTTCAAACATACTTAACCCATCATTCTTGCCACTTTCTAACACGTCTTTGTTGAGTGTCTTTAATTGTAGTACTGTGACTCTGTCCGTGCCCTGAATCAATTCAAAACATTTACCTTTCATGGCCATTTTGACTCTGGGGAGAGAAACAAGTTGGTAGGTGCCAGATTCAGAGAGTAAGATGGATGAAGATACCTTGTAGTAATGTTTTCAAGAGCCAGACTCTCTGTTATATGGCACTCATTAGCAGCATCCAATGTATTTTTTTTAATCACTTCTCATAAAGACATTGCAGAATTATTTCAGAAAGTGGCAAGAACAATGGGATGAGTGTTCAAAGTAAGGGAGATTCAAAGGTAATGTGTTTTTTACTGTGATTTAAAAACAAACCACACACACACATACACACACACCTATATTCACCATACTTTTTGATTACCCCTCGGTATTATGAATCTATGAATAATACAATGACAACAAAGAATACTTTTCTGTGTGTTTTCTGAGGTCTGTTTGAAGACTTAAATTTTCTATTAGAAGGAGAACAAAAGAAAACAGATCAATACAACATTGGTAGACAAATGTGTTTAAAATTTGGAATCACTGTACAAATTAATCCTAAAAAAAAATCCTAAAAAGTTACAGAAGGGCATCTGTAACTACATTAAAAGGATTATGGAATGAAAAATAAAAGAGCTCTCAGCACCTATGCAGAATCATTTTACAAGTATAAATGAATCTTAATCACCTAATTATGAATTTCTGTTGTTGTCAGAATTTTTTTTTGGGGGGGGGGGTACTCACAATCTTGTGCTTGCCAGGCAGGCACTTACTCTGCTGAGCTAAATCCCTGTCCCCCTTATCAAAAATTTTGAAACTGACCAAAACTACCAACTGGATATGATGATCCTCGTGCTAGTTTTAGTAACAAAATAAACATAAAAGTTTGAAGACATCAAGTAAACAACTTAAGCAAATGGGCCATGTTGACAAATATTCTATAGCTAGAAGAATGAGAAAGTATCATCAGAGAGATGCAGTCATCAATAATAAGATTTCCATTCTGTCAGGTTTTTATAGTTACTGCTGCTCTAAAGAATGTTTGCTTCACTTCATATGCAATCAAATTAATCATATTTAAAAGTCATATAAATGTTCTTTGCATCCTCCACACATGCACTTAGTAAATAAAAAGAACCAAAGTATAAGCATAAGGAGAGAGTCTACACATAACTTTATGGAAAAACGTGACAACTGTATTGAAACAAGATTATTGGTAAAATAAAATATAGATATGACAGGAAAGTGTGTATCAAACTGGCTCATTTTCAGTCCACACATTTAAAAAAGATGTACTTTTATTTCAAACAACTCCACATAAATATAAAAATAAGCCTATCACAAGGTTTGAAATTTCCTCCCAAATTTTCCCTTTTATAGGCAGAAAATACATGTCATTAAATATATTTCCAAGTGAACCACACGGGAAGATACTCGAGAGAAGGATGGTCTGATGCAGCCATTGACGCAAACCTAAGGGAAAAAATGGGACTCTCTGGTACAGCATGCAGAGCACACACTTCCTAGCAACTTCAATACAGCATTAACTTAATTTTGATTGCCAACAGTAAGTGGGGGAAAAATTTTTCACTGAAATGTAACTCTTTCAATATGATCAGAGGCAACAAACCATCTTAGTGTTCCCTATATTCATACGTATTCTAAAAATTTCATAACATTCTGAAAATGAGTCTGTGAAGAACCCTGATTAGAGCAAGTGGTAACAACAACATTATACTGTTTTTTACACTAAGATAAGGGATAAACTCAAAACACATACTTTGTTTATGCAATAAAAATCCTAAAATGTCATTGTATTAGATCTGTTTATGAGAAAAATCACACTACTGTTGTTCGTAAGTCTTCTTTTAATATACATTCTGTACTTCTATAACTTAAAGTTTTCTAATTGACAGTGGGCATTAAAAATGGTGAGAATAAAATTTACTGAATAAGAAATTTACACAGTTTCAAATATATCCCCTCCAAGAGCTTAACAGATCTGGAAGGGGAAAAACTGCCTTTACTCAAGTCAACTCAATCAGTAACCACCTTAACCAAGAAAACTAAGTTAAGCTCCCTACCAAATGGCCTGCAATAGTATCCAAAAGTGTGACAGTTATCAAAGACAAAACCTAGGGAGCTATTTAGATTAAAGGAGACCAGACTTCTATCCCAGCAACAATATATTAACAGGGACTAGATTCAACATCTTACTTTTTGACAAAGACAAAATTAGACAAATAATACTGAAACAATGGTTTTGAAATTCTGTTGAAAACTAAGAAAAGGAAAACAAAGAAAGTGAGTCATTTAGTTACCAAAACTTATCTCTTGGAGGATGTTTGGGGAAGGAGAAGAGGCAAAGAGCAGCAAACAAAACCAGGATTAGCTTTGCTGAATTGAGAAAATAGATAAAGTTTAAAAGAAGTGGAAAGTAGAGTAACAGAGCCAAGGTAAATGCACATATAAACATAAAACTGTGGATTATCTAAAATATTCTTGAGAATGAAGACTAGCAAAGTATGCATGTGTTATAAGAAACTACCTAAGACCTGAGAAAGAACCAAAGTCCTACAGGAATAAGATTACTTATTCCTCAACCACATACAGGGCTAAAACCACTCTGTTCCTACTATTCAAGAGAGGGAAGGCTTTGTTAGCAAGAGAAAGAGATACAGGTACACTCAGAAGTTGTAACTGTAATAGTAGGGATAATCTATCCCTAGACTAAACTGCTCTATCAAAAGTTTTTTACACAGATTAAAAGGTTCAAGTTAGAACAATGTACAACATAATTTAAAGTGAAACAACAAGCTCAGAAATCAACAACATAAATTACAAAATACTCAGAATCTAGACCGGGCATAGTGGTTAATGCCTATAATCCCAGCACTTGGGAGGCTGAGGCAGGAGGATCATTTCGAGTTCAACAGCAGCCTAGGCTACAAAGTGAGCTCAAGGCCAACCTAAACTGCATAGAGAGACCCCTATTTCAAAAAGATTAAACACACACACACACACACATACTCAGAATCTAAAACTATCAGGCATGAGAAAATACAAGAAAACACTACTTATTAATAAAGGGAAAACAAAAATAAAACCAAGACAAAAAAAACAAAAAACAAAAAAAAAACTGTAGAAACATACCTAAAAATGAGAGCTATGAAAATATCAGTTCACAAACTTGATTCTTTCCATGATCCTGGCTGCCATCTGAATTGGATGAGAATTAAATCAAATTTTATCCCATAAAATCGCCAAACCTGCCCACTGAATTTGATTTGGTTCTCATCCAATTCAGTCTGCAACCAACATCTTAGAAGAATTAAATTTGTGAACTGAGGTACCAACGTTATATTGATGTTGATGCGTTTAAAAATTAACAGTGGGAAAAAAATGAACATAATTAGGCAAGGAACAGAAGATATAAAAAGACATGGCTGTAACTTTTTGACAGATAAAACATCTGACATGAAAACTACACTGTGTAGTGTTAATGACTGGAAAAGATCAACAAACAAAAAGGTACAACAATTAAAAGCTCTCCAATTTAAATGAGCACAGATGGGGGAAAAAACTAAATAGACCCGTGCTCACTGAACAAAACAGGAAGAAGTGCTGGGGATTTAGCTCAGTAATAAGCACCTGCCTAGCAAGCATGAGGTCATAAAAGAATAAATAAATAAATAAAGCAAGAAGTCTAATGATTCTGAAATTGGGAGCTCAGAAGACAGTGAAAGGAATGCTAGTAATAAAGTTAAGGCCAAGTGGGTGGGACATGCCTGTTACCACAGCTGTTAGGAAAGCTGTGACAAAGAATCAAAAGCAAGTTTGAGGTCAGCCTGGGTTAACTAGCAAGACCATGTCGCAAAATGAAACAAAAAGGGCTGAAGATACAGTACAGGGGGACAAGACACAGAAATGATCCTGGATTGCAGCCTAGGAAAGAAACAATCTTAGGGACACTATTGGAGAAATGTGAATAAAGTCCATAGAATAACCTAGTAATATTTTAACAATATAAATTTCCTTAGTGTGAGCATCACTGTACTATAGTTCCTATTATAGACAGTAGAATATTCAAAAGACCTTGCTTTTATAATAAGGTTTAATTTTTACTTTCCCCACTTAGGCACAAAAGGGAGGGATGGGGGGGGAGTGGCTAGGGATTGAACACCTGGGCTTGGCTTATCAGATACGAGGCAGTCTCTATACATGGGAGCCCTTTTTATCCACAATTTTAAGTGAGTCTCGATAAGTTGACCAGGCTGGACTTGAACTTGTGGCCCTCCTGTCTAGATCTCCTGGATAGCCAAGATTACTGGTATGCACCACCAAGTCAAACGACAATTTTTATAAATCATAATTAAATGCCTACTATGTACAAGAAACTAGGCACTAAAAAGCGACATTTGGAAATAATTTTCAGAGTTAATAAATATCTCAAAGCAAATGAGTACACTGACAGAAAATATATACAAAATTTCATAAAATCAAAATATATTTTGGAGATAAAACACTCATCATCTGATATATTTTAATATACTTGTATAACTAGTATATCAACAATAATCAAAAGGAAAAAAATAAATTTTAGTATGCCTCAAAATTCACATGATTTTTTTCAGATAAATACTAGCAGAGCTTGAAAGCCTCCACTAAGTACTTTCTGGGCCATAAACTAAGAGCTTACAGTGGGCCATACACCCACCTACATTCCTGCTTACCTCAGGATGCATTACGTAAGAGTCCTGCATGTGATCTCGAACCTCCTTCAGGAAGCTTGGATGGCTACCTACCTAAAAAAAGATTTTAAAAGACTTTATAAATATATATATAACCACTAGGTTGAAAGGTAAATGAACATTCTGTAAAAGTTGCTTCAACTAAAAATACAGATCTGCCCTGTCCCCACTGTTGTCCAACTTACAGAAGAATTACACAAATAATTTTAATTTTCCCACATAAAAAATGATGTAGTGGTGAAACAATGGAGTTGGGGTTAGGTATTAAGAGACAGACTCATCTCACCAAACACTCACATGTCTCTTAGATTGTGTGTTCTACACCCGCTTTAACACATGTTAAACTAAGCGCAGTATGGTGGCAATGCCAGTAATTCCAGCATTTGGGAGACTAAGAGGGGACCACTACCAAGAATTTAGGGACAGAATGGGCTACATGGTGAATCCAATGCCAGCCTGAACTACATAGCGAGACCCTATCTCAAAATAATGCTCCACTCAAAATGCTGACCCTTAATGAAATTTCAAAGCAAGTATCTTGGAGATTATAATTATTATCAACTGCAAAATGGGTTGTCTTGGGAATTCTACTAAAAGCATGTAAGAGTTTCCAATACTTAATACAATACAAATTTATATCCTTACTCCCTACAGAAAAGTTTAAAAACATATGCTTCCTTCTTGTCATCAAAGTCAAAACATTATGCTAGAAGAGAAACACTACTGAAAGGCAAGTGATAAGCATTGTAGTTTCCTATGATAGGATCGAAATTACTGATTAGATGTTATCAGTACACGCCAGAAACTAAGCAGTGAGAAAACAGATTAAACAACAAAGGCAGCCAAATTAAAAGTTAGAGGCAAAAATCAAATAAGAAAAGGTCACAACATAAAGTGAGTTGCCAGGCTAAAAAAAAAGTCATTCACTAGAATACCTCATGTCGCGATTTCCAAACATGTCTGATGATATCCCTTAATCAGTAAAAGACATGCATTAAGTGTGGCAGCAAAGGCCTGCAATCCCAACCTTCTGGGCAGTTGCAGCAGGAGAACTGCAAGTTTCAGCACAGTATGGGTGAGCAACTTGCAAAACTTTGTCTCAACAGCTGGGGATACAGCTCAGAGGCACAGCACCTGTCTGGCAAGCCCAAGGTCTTGAGTTCAATTCCTGGTACCACAAACAAACAAAAAAACTTTGCCTTGAACTAAAAAGAAAAAAAACTGAAAAGCTGGGGATGTAACTGAGTGCAAAAACCCTGGATTCAATAATCACTACTTTAAATGATTTTTAAATAAATTTTACTTTATTTAATACTGTAGCATTGAGGGCTGGGGATTTAGCTTATCGGCATAAGCGCCTGCCTTGCAAGTGTGCAGTCGTGAGTTCAATCCGTGGTAACAAAAAAAAAAAATACTGTAGCACGGGGATGCAGTTCAGTAGTGGAACAGACAGCCTAAGACAGAACAAGAACTTGGGTTCAATCTCCAGTACCGAAATAATAACAACAACAGAACAAAGAACACTTTCTCTACGGCCCCTAGAGTAGACTCACTTGGCAGTTAGTGCAGGTTACATAGGGAGCGGTAAGAAACTCTTTCTCTTCTCCCAGGGTGGCACCAGACAAAGCCCTGAAGACACAATTTCCACACCCACACAGCAATAACAATTTCCCCCACCTTCCAGTGACGTCAAGAGCTCAAGCACAGAGGATACACTTCTACTTCCACTTGCCAGAGTGATGAGGTGTGGCCTTTCTCTCCTTGCCAGAAGGCTGTAAATGAAGTTAACTAATACAGAAACTTTAAAGATCAAGAATCTCATAACATAAAAATCCAAAATGTTCAAGATTCAATTAAAAAAATTTTAAGCCTGAAACAAGTAAAACCATAATTTAAAAAGACACCAAAATTAGAATTATCTGACAAAGACATAATTTTTAATTTATTTATTCTATGTTTCTGAGGCAGGGTTTTGCTGTGCAGTTCAGGCTAGCTTTGAACTCACTTTGCAGCCCAGGCTAGCCTCCAACTCACAGCAATCCTCCTCCCTCAGCCTCTCGAGTACTAGGAGTATAGGCATGCACCATGCCTGACAAAGATTTTAAATAATCATCATAAAAATGTTTCAACAAATGAAGCAAAGTTGAAGCAAATACAATTAAAAGCAAATGAAATAACAGGAACATTCAGCCGGGCATGGTGGTGCATGCCTATAGTCTCAGCACTCGGGAAAGAGGGCAGAGGCAAGAGGATCACAAGTTCAAGGCCATCCTGGGCTACATATTGAGTTCAAGGCCAACCTGAACTATACAGTGAGATACTGTCTCAAAAAACAAAATGAACAAAAATAAACTTTCAGCAAAGAAATATAGGATAGGAAGAATAAATTTTAAGGAATCAATGAATTAGAAAATAAAACAATTGAAAGTATTCCATTTGAACGGAGAGAAACTAGATTTTGGCAATGGGACAAAGAACGGGGCTTCCGGGACTAATCAAAACATTTAAGTTTATGTTCTAGGAGCCTTGGAGAAAGAGAAAAGGAGACAGGGCTAAAAACTGTCCTGAAAGAAACAACATCTGAATATATCTTAAATTAGGCAAGACACTCGGGCCTAGGCCAAGGCAGGAGGACCCAGAAACCTTGTTCCATAGCCCTGCTGACAGCAATGGCAACTCCTGCTGGAGCCCACATTGAGCCAGAAGAAATCCAAAACCACTTAAGCCACCTCATCCAATGTGGCTCCTGCTCCTGCATTCTCCACAGTACAGGTAACAGAGGTGAAAACCAACAGACCAATTTGATCAAAGAAGAAACCAACATCCAAGAAGAGTTTCATTTCAGGGCTTAAGTGACGGATACTCTACACAGAAACAGAGTAAGACAATCTTCGGAGATAGGCTTGGACAGTGAGAGCTAAATAGGGATCTCGGGGGATCTATTTGGGACATGACCATGATAAAACCTAAAAAGTTCATGATCACCAAACTAATACTCCAAAAAAAAAAGAAAAAAAGAAAAAAAAAAAAAAACCCACCCACAAAACTCAGAGAAATCCTAAAGGAGAGGATAGAGCTAAAAATACCAAAAGGTCCAATAAAATGAATACATCAGAGCCAGGTATAGGAGGTTGAGGCAAGAAGATTGCTTGAGTTCATACTGTTTGGGCTACATACTGAGCTCAAGGACATCAGTTAAATATAAGGAAAAGAAAGCAAGAAAGCAAAAGCAAATTAATATAATGATGGCAGTAAGTCAACATACATCAATTATAACTATCGATGTAAACAGACTCAACTCGCCAAAAAAACAGATTAGCTGAACAGATCAGGATACACAAATCAATGGTACAGTATACACAAGAAACACATTGAACACAAAAAGAATTAGCAGACTTTAAAAATCAAAGGACAAAAACAATAATCCATGCAATCAGAACTCAAAAAGAAGCAATAACAGCTATCTTACTTTTGAAATGGATTTCAAGTGAAAGCTGTTGAAAAGAGGCAAAGGACCTTATATTGGTTAACATGTTCCCACAGGTTTGAACCACCAGTGATACACACCCAGCAGCAGCAGGCTAATTATCAACACAGTAAAAGCCTGTGAACAACCTACTGCCACTATCATATTAAGGAAAAAGTTGAAAGCCTTCCCTGTAAAATCAAGAACAAGACAAAGATGTCCATTATCACCATTCCTATTCAACACAGTCAACCAGAGCAATCCTATTCAAAACATTAACCAAAGCAATCAGGAAAGAGAAAGACGGAGAAGAAAAACCAGACAGTGTGCTGGGGATATAGCTCAGTGGCACAAGTGTCTACCTGGCAAGTGCAAAGTCCTGAGTTCAATTCCTAGTACCAGAAAGACAGACAGACAGAGAGGGAGGGAAGGAGGGAAAGAATGAATTTGTATAGGAATGGACGAAGTCAAAATATTGTTATTTGTAGATGACATGATTTTTTACTTACAACACCCAAAACTTTCCACCAAAAGACTCCTAGAACAAATTCAGCAGTGTAATGCAACACAAAGTAAACACAAAAAAATCAACAGCATTCCCCTGTACTAGTAATAAACTCACTGGAAAAAAAATTAGGAAAACAGTATCATTCACAATGGCACTGAAAAAATTTAGGTATTAATCTAACTAAAAAAGTGAAAGACTTCTATAATGAAAATTATATCACTCTGAAAAAGGAAATCAAGAAATCAGAAAACAGAAATATATCCTCTTTGCTGGATAGGCAGAACCAACATGATCAATTGCTTGAACTTCCAAAACCAACATACAGATTTAATACAACCCCAATCAAAATCCCAATACTATTTCTCAAAGAGCTAGAGAAAATAATCTTACAACTTATGTGGAGTCAGAACAGACCCAAAATAGCAAAAGCAAACCCAGGTAACAAAAGCAAAGCAGGTGGCATCACAATCCTAGACTTGAAGTTATAAAGTTACAATGACTGTAACAGCATGGTAGTAGAACAAAAAACTGGCATGTAAATTAATGCAACAGAACACAAAAAGCAAAAATGATCCCAGGTATATACTGCACATCTATTTGATCACTGACAAAAGGCCAAAAATATACACTGGAAGAAACATAACCTCTTTGATAAATAGTGCTGGAGAAACTCTATATGGATAAGATTGTCTATATGCCTATATCTATATCTATATGCCTATATATCTCACCATGTACTAAAATTAAATCCAAATGGATCAAAGATCTAAGCATTAGGATAAAAAAAAACTGCTGGAAAATAGGTACAACTCTTTGAAGACACAGGCACAGCCAAAGACTTTCTGAACAGAACCTCATGGGCACAAGAAATAATATTGAGAATCAACAAGTAAAATCATATCTAATTAAAAATCCTCTTGGGCAGCAAGAGGAGCAACTGTAAAGACAAAATCCACAAACTGGGAGAAAAAACTTGCCAGCTATTCCTTGGACAATGAAATTAAGAATGTGTAAGAACTCAAAAAACTGAGACTCCTCAAAGTAAAAGATCCAAACCAAAAATGAATAGACACTTCTCAG